CTCAGGTCCCTTGACGCTGAAGAAGTTGAGGCTGTATTCGGTAGCGATCGCTTTGGCCAACAATGTCTTTCCGGTTCCAGGAGGGCCATAAAAGAGAATACCCGATCGCTTCTTCATTCCCTTTGCAAAGAGCTCGGGGCGTTCAAGCGGTAGTTGAATAGTCTCAGTAACGGCCTCCTTAACGTTGTTCAGACCACCAACATCGTCCCAGGTAACGTTGGGAATCTTGGGCGCACCAATAGAGTCGGAGAAGTTCTTGCGAGCCGCTTCAACGGCAATCTCAAAATCACTCTTCGTCAGACAGCGGGCAAGAGGCCCACCCGCAACCTGCACATCACGCACGGTTATTATGGTGCTATCGTGCGTATTCTTCGCCGATAGTTGTTCCAGTCGTGATTGCTGAGCGATAGACGCACGCTCAACTACATCAACCAAGTCGCCAGCAACAAGTGCAGCAGTCTTGAGGGCGATCGAATTGAGATCAATAGACGGCTCAAGACTGACACCCCTGTCGCTTATGATAGTTTTGAGAATAGATTCACGCTCTGCTTCGTCGGGGGCTGTCATTTCCAACTCATGCGTGAACAATGCTCGAACTCCATCAGGTACCTTGTCAACCTCGTTCGTTGTAGCAATCAGAACTCGGGTGTCTTCGAGGATTTCTTTGATTGTCGCCTCAATACGATCAGCAGTGAGAGCCTCGATATGCTGTACCAGCAGAGCACAGCAGTCAGAGCCACAACTCATAGCGCGCTCTGCCCTTGTCCTGAGGAAACCTTCGGTCTTGACATCGCTTCCACTGCCGCTTCCTTCGCTGAGGATATCGTAAGCGTCTATAGTATAAGTATGCAGACCCATATCGGAACAAGCGCCTGACGCTAGAGTGGACTTTCCAATATTTCGATGCGTAGAAGTCAATAAAACCGCAACGGGGGGCATCTTCAGGTGGATTGCCCTAGCGCTCGTAGCAGCTGCGATCAGTTCCCTCAGCTGGCGTCTGAGAGGTGACACATAGGGTAGTTCAGGCTCCTGGATAGGGGCTGGGGTCGTTTCCGACGGCTTCTTGGGTGTCTTTTTCAGGCCGAGATAATACTGCCACGTGCTTTGCTTGATGCCAGGAATTCGGCTTGTTTCAAAGCCCGAGCCATGCATAGCAACAGACGAGCTATCAATGCATGCAACTGATCCCCAGAAAGCCTCGGCACTTCCGTCCTCATCTTCATCAGACTTTTGAATTTGGATATGACCAACTTTGAACCACGCGACACTGTCAAACTTGGAAGGCTGTTTTCCAGTCTCCTGACCACCAACAGTGAGCGCCATCACATCGTCCACTTCAGACCCTCCAGCACCGGGCATCTCCTGCAGTGTACGGCCAAGCTCGGCGTCAACTGGAACAGCGATCAGGTCTCCGCTTCGAACGAGACGGATTTTCTGAGCAAAATAGCGCTTCAAACCACCCAGAACAGCAGTTTGGAAAGCACGTTCTGCGGAAATTGGAGTGCGAATGTGATGGATAGTAATGTCCCGAGCATATGGTGGTCTGGCTGCGCTTGTGAATCTGGGAATTGTCCCCTTCCCTTGATATGACGCTTTCTTCAAAGGCGCAAGGCGGAGGTAAGGCGCATCGTCGAGATTAGCTAGGAGGATAGGAGACGCATAGGCAGTAGGGCTAGCAGGCCGTTGGATTTGCGACTCGAAAAAAGACAACCTTCTCTCACCGTGCTTAGCACTGGGGATCCTTGTCATGGGGCGTTGCGAATAGCCCTCAGGGAGTCCGTAGACTCGAACAGGTCGCCATTTGGCGGGTTCGGGTTCGGCTTGTCCAAAGCTTCCCAAACCAAAAGCACCAAATCCATTTGCAGGAGGTTCTTCAGCGGCTTCAATCCTGACCCAATCTCCAGAGAAGCACCCGATGCGACTTAAAGATGTCACATCAACGTAAATACGCGCTTCCTCGTCGTCTTCTATTGATGGCTTTGGGTGTAGAATGTCTCCGGGGATCTGCTCCATCAAGCCTTGCGCCTTGAATAGGCGGCCTCGGGGCCTATCTGGTCGAGCAGTAGTCGCAGTGAAATTTGAGAAAACAGAGCCAGGGGTTGTGATTCCGTTCGTCTTTCTACCGCGAAGCGTTCCCACAGTCATTGGCGTTCCAGGCTGTAGAGTCGAGACACCACTAGCATTGGTTGTTGGTAACGTGGGCGCCTGCAAAGAGATCATATCGTCCATAGAATCGTCTGACAGCTCATCCTCGTTCTCAAAATCCGACATATCTGGCTCCGTCTCGGTGGCTGATTCCATATCTTCTGTCATCATTCCTGACTTATCGCGATCCTCGGCAGCAGAATAAAATTGATCTGTACTGGTATCATCTTCGTCCTCGGGTACGCCATTGAGCTGTTGGCTCGCAGTCATGGAAGCAACACGGCGGATCTGCTTGGTATGGACGCGGCCGCGCATAAGAATGATTTTGGTCGACTCCGTCAAGACACCTTGAGCAACAGGCTCACACAGCATGATCTTTCCGGGATTAGGAGGCACATGGGTGAGTGGGTGTGGTGGCAGAGGAAGCGGAAACAGATCACCGGCGTGGACAACCTTGAGACTGCTCAAGGCAGCCCTCAAAGAAGCCACAAGCCGGTCATCAGACGTCGAACCGGCGCCTTTTTCCTTGGAGCTTGCGGGATGATCTCTGTAGAAATTTCCCTCTCCATTTTCGAGTCTCTTTGTCAATTCGCTCTCCAGGCTCACGAAGACGGTCTCGAGAGGTACGGGCGCAACGTCGAGGACCAGAATTTCGATTCCACCGCGGCTGTGGCTCGATAGCTTGGATGGCGCAACTTGTTGCAGGGTAACAGCGAAGCTCTGCAGTGAGGCAGAGGACGGTGAGAACCGGACTGTCGACGGCGCAATCGCGGAAGACTCTATAATTGGTACAATCGACCACGGGCTATCGGTAGGGTTCGCGTTCGGTTGCCATGGAGCGATCGCAATGTGATGGACATCTTCGGTGGCGCCTTGGTAGAGTTGAGCTGGGGTCTCGTTCTAGTATGGGTTCGCATTGAATGGTTGAATTGACTTACCGTTAGCTAGGTGAGGGAAGAGGTCGCGGAATATGTCTTCGGACACAATGCCGACATCGCTCTTGATATGATCGTCGAGGATGAGTTTGGCAGCGATGGCCGGTTTATCTTGACGACGTCTGCGATTTTGTCGCTTGATTGAGGTGGAAGCTAGTTGCGAAGACGACGCCATTTCGCGCGCGGTTCAGGCTTGGAGGTATGTTGGTAGATGGCGGTAGAGAAAGAGTACAGGTAGAGGAAGCTCGAATCGCAAGCGCGGGGATCACTGCATTGCTCGTAGCAGCTTTCCAATGAGTTAAATGGCAATTACTGAGTAAACAGACAAAGAAACAAAGCCTTGGGTATACAATTGTATGTAAACAAAAACAAAACCGTGAGGGGATGAAGCTATCCTGAGGTTAAGAATAAGAAATTGGACGTGGCTTCCCTTCTCTTTCGGCAGCGGCTCAGGACGACCGAAGAGCCAGTGGCCTGCCTCGGCTTCTGATCTGAGTTGGGGTAGGTACAACGACAACACGGGGTCGCTGCCGCCCCGAGGTACGTACCAAGACCGAGTTGCCCGAACTCCGTGCTCGGGGGAGTTGAAGCCGACCAGGGTATTAAGGCTATAACTTTTATTTATTATATTTTGTTAGCAGTTGGAGAATACTTTATTCAATGGGTTTGGTTTATATCTTTCAATCCGGATTGTTATTATATAGTCACCACCTCGGTACCTATCTTGTTGCTAAGCTTTACAGTTTAGTTGATCCAAGCGCTGGAGACAACAGACGAATATCAGTCAGCGGCTCCATGTCATGCTCCAAACTCCAGACTGGGGTAACAAAAGCCAAGTCCAGGGCTGATAGATGGGTGGCGAGACCCTGGTGCTGTACTGCACATAACCTAGACCTGACATCTGGAGAAACGTAACACAAGACTAGTACAAGGACAGCTGGATGCCATGTTGTCTCATGGCAGTGTGGTACAAATCAAGGATCATGTATTCAAGAAGAGTATACATCAATAATGCGTTTCTCTGTTGTGTAATCGATCATGCCCCTAACTGCTTCAGTAAGTAAAATGTCAATATTTACGTATAGTATTCATAAGCATCATCGTGGATGGCATCAAGACACTTAATAGCAACTGTACATACATCTCTGTTTGCAAAGAATACAAGCCACTGACATGATTCAAATGTCATATTCATCATCAGTTCTTGGCCGTTGGCAGTGCAGACTTAAACTATTTCAGCAAGATCATCCAGAACGACATCTGAGATTAGTTAGAGTTCGACCCCCTTTTGACAAATTAACATTTCACATGCTTTTCAGCAAGGATCATCCATCTCCCATTAAAGTCACAGTTCCCGCCACAAATCCGGCTGTCTGGCCAAAAATCTAGACCAAATCTGCCCATGACGCAACGCGCTCTTGTTAGTGACCATTCAGAACTGGTTGTCCTGTCACCTCTGTCTTAATAACGCCGATTCAGCCTCCTTTACCACATTTGCAACGCTTCTGTTTTTCTATCATAAACCAGCCCAGAAAGATTGGGGACTCTGCTTCTTTATCACACCAGACTAATACACCGCAACACAAGCGAGGGCGACATCAATAATCGGTCTAAGCATTGGGTGACCTGTTCGGCGCATTTCAGAATTTACCATCTGATCCATACTTCCCATGATCCCACTCCTCCACCCAGATCCTTGATTTCCTTCTTGAACTGCATTGGCGATCTCCGGTCTAGATTTATATTCTTATCGGCCCCTGTCAGATATGCGAATATTCCCTGCAAGATAGTTTTTCTTGCATAACAGAGAGACGCTCATTTATTCAACGGCTTGACCTCAACGACCACACTTGTCCAGCATTCTTTTTTGACTGAGACTTGGTCAAGGGAGTTATTTAATATTCTCTCGACACAAATATCATGACGCAACAATCACAAGGCTCGTCGACTACGACACAAGAACAACAACAGCATCGTCATCATCCCCGAGTTCTAGGCCACAAACTAGCTGAAACAGCCGTCCAATTCTCTCACCAGGCCGAAAAACTCTCTCATCAGGACCCGACAGAAAGATCCGGCGTTGCTGTCGAGGCGCAATTCGTTACACCTCACGATCCAGTCATCGTTACTTCAGATGGCAACCGACTCCCTGGTGTGCCCTTACAAGAAGCGCATAAGCTGAATGCGCTCCGTGAAGAGCTTGAGGGCGAGCCCAAAAATGTTGAGATCAAAAAGGGTAACGAGACTAAAGAGAAGATATCAAACGTCGAGAACGCGGAGCCTGAGCAAACCAAAGTTGTTCAGATACCGTCTGAACACAATGGCGCATCACTACAAAAGTCGGGCGGTGTCGATAGCACATTGCGACGGCAAACACCCCCATCTCACACAAATCCTCTCTTCCCTCCATTGCCTCTGTATGGCCCCCCCAATGTGCTGCGCAATCTTCAATGCATGTTTTTCCGCATTAGCGCATTCTTTCTCAGTCTGGCGTTTCTCGGCGTCATCGTCTTGGGAGCCTTGTTTACGACAATGCCTATCGTGGCTAAGAACATTTGGTATCGGGTGACATTTCGCAATCCTGATGCCGACAGGCCATTTTACGAGGAGGAGAGGCAGAGAGCTCAAGCGAGGTATGAGCAAGAGAGGGCTTGGAAGCAAAAATCGCATAATGGATCGTCATTGGACCAGGCAGAAGCAGCTGAAGAGTTCCCGCCGACTGAAGGCGGGCCAGATCCGATCATTTGCGATGTCGCATACTATGCGCGCAGAGTTGGCCTCGATGTTGAGACGTTCGAGGTCCAGACTGAAGACGGTTTCATAATTGACCTGTGGCACGTCTACGACCCTAAGGAGTACACTGAGAAGGAAGCAAGCTTGAGGTCCGACCAAGGTCCCGAAGTCTTTCAGCACCAAAGAAGGAAGCTCAAGGACCCGTCGCAAAAGCCCAAGTTTCCGGTATTACTCATGCACGGCTTGTTACAAAGCTCAGGTGCCTACTGTTGCAACGATGACGAATCCCTTGCTTTCTGGCTTTGCAAATCTGGCTACGACGTGTGGCTCGGAAATAACCGTTGCGGATTCACTCCCAAGCATGCGCTGCTCGAGTACAAGGACCCAAGGATGTGGTGTTGGAACATCAGACAGATGGGTGTTTTCGATCTGCCTGCCTTGACATCAAGAGTTATCACCGAGACGGGGTTCGAAAAGATTGGTCTCATCTGCCACTCCCAGGGAACGACTCAGACATTTGTCGCATTGGCCAAAGAGCAGCGACCCGAACTGGGTGAGAAGCTGACAGTTTTCTGCGCTCTCGCTCCAGCAGCCTACGCTGGTCCTCTCATTGGCAAGATGTACTTCAAGTTCATGCGCATCATATCACCGGGTCTGTTTCGGCTTATGTTTGGTATTCATGCATTCATTCCCTTCATGATGCAGATGCACGCAATCTTGGACGCACGTCTATACGGCTGGCTTGGCTACAAGGTGTTTTCTTTCCTATTTGACTGGACCGATGAGCGCTGGGACCGAGGCCTTCGTAATCGCATGTTCCAATTTGCGCCGGTTTACGTCAGTGCCGAGTCAATGCGATGGTGGCTTGGTCGCGAGTGCTTTGCAAAGCACAAGTGTATCTTGTCTACCAAGGAGACTGTCAAGGCCGAGGAACATATGGACGCCAAGTCGGATGGACGACCCATGACACCCCGCACATCATCAGCACTCGAATCCCATCGAAAACAACCTAAAGGCTCTACCGCATGGTACAATGAACAAGCACCGCCTATGGCTCTTTGGGTGGCTGGCAACGATGATCTTGTTGACGGAGAGAAACTGCTTCGACGATTTGAGAAAGGTCGCGAGCCACATGTTGACCTGGTTCACAGCAAGATCATTCCCGAGTATGAGCATCTAGATGTCATCTGGGCTATGGATGCAGTCGATCAAGTTTTCAAGGAAGTTCGAGAGGTGTTGTGGAAGACGTGCAATGCACGCGACATTTGTCGAGTCCCCAAGGGTTGTGAGAATGTGGAAGCACGAAAACACAGCGTAAGTGTTAAAGAAGAGGTGCTAGATGAGTCCCAGTCTAGCAGCAGCAGCGAGTTGTAAAAGAGAACTTGGAAAGGGAAAATACATGATACAGACGAATCAATACACGCAATAGAAGAGATGGACAAAGATACACAAGGAAGGCACATTAAAGGAGTTGATATTTGGGTATATTTGGATCAGGGTTATCTTTCTATACACCTCTGCTTAAAATTTTGGATACCAGCATTGTCGAGATACTTCTGGTTGGGTTTCAAATTTTGGCAATGGTGCTGTTTGGAAGGGCGTTAAGGTGGATGCGAGATAACATACACTTATCAATAGCAGGGAATTGAAGAGCGATTCGTAAAAACGACATATGAGCAACGAGATCTAAGTTATATTTATTAACTTTGCGCTCTACACATGACTATGTGTTGCTATTCTACTGCTACTCTTTTGCTTTTGGAAAGAAAGAATTTAAATCAGATGTGCCATAGTTACCTTACATCATCGTCGACATTGAAGGCAGTCTTGTAAAAGCTGGCTTATGAAGCGAACAAGATAGAAATCTTTTGACAATGAAGAAGTATTATGTCAAGTAGATTGAATTATCGTACGGTATCTATTTATTTTACAAAAATTGATGGGGCACGACTGTTGTTTCGCTCTTATACATCGTCCCTTCACTCTACCATGAGGTCAAAATTCATGGTCACAGTATTCATGTCCTCTGATCAACCCATGCGCTCAGCCTCTTCCAGAAGCCTGTCAACGCTGAATCTCCCATCACCAGCTGCGAACCAGCCCAGCAGCTTCTTTCTCTCCTCAGCCCTTTCCTTGCGCTCGCCGCTCAACTCAGCGCTCTCGCTTTCCCATCCGCCATAGAATCGCTGAAGAGACATAAGAAGCCACTTGGCGTTCTCTGGTGTAACACCCCTGTCAGGCAGGACATTGCCCTGCATGAGAACAAGACCTCGGTCATCGGCGAGATCCAGGTGGTGTGTAATGGTGGTGTGAGGCTGCGCAAACTCGCCTCGGTTCTTGTACTCCGCGAGTTGAGTAAAGAGGACAGTGCTTGTCTTGGACTGGGCGTCAAAGGTCCATTGCAAGAAGTGAATCTCGGCACCTTGAGCAGGGTGCGGCACGGGAAGGACAAATTGGGGGGCATTTCGTGCAGCATCCTCCATGACCTTGTATGTAGACGTCGGGATCACGGCGCAGAGGTTCTGCTCAGATGAAGCATGTCGTAGACGCCAGATAGCTGTAAGCTCCTTCTCTGGAAGCTCCCGCACCTTGGGAAGATCAATGATGTCATTTAGTGTCTTGATAGCTGGCTTATCCGCGCCGGTTGGTGGAGGCTGTGGAGGTGATTTGGGAGCATCGCGGGGATCTTTGTTGGGTTGGTCCTGGCCAGGAGGAGTGTCCGCGTTGGGCTGAACAACTGGAGTTTCGGGTGCTTGTGGAATGGTTCCAACTGGAATTTCGACAGCACCTTTGCGGCGTTCGGCATGGATCTTATCGGCGTAAGCGGCCTTGAGCTGGTCGATGTTCTCCAGACCTTCTTGTTGAGCCTTCTGACTGAGCTTTTCTCGGTACTTCTCTACGACAGCCTGTGAAGGCTGGGTTGTTGCGAGGAAACGAATATCGTGAACCTGGGCCCATCGTCGCTGGTTGACAGCTCGAGTGGCTCGTGATGGAGCGGCCATAAGCCGGCGAAGGGCTGGAATTCGTAGTGAGGCCATAGTGAGAGGTCAATTGAGTCGATAGAACCACTGTAGGATGCGTCGACTCGTCTCTGTTGATTGTATTCTGAGGTCGATGAAGGAGAAAGATTTGATGCCTTTTAGCAAGGACAAGGGTCAGCCACTAAAATTCCCGAGGACTGTCGTCATGTTACTGACCTATGGAACTTGGTGGGGCCGCGCTGTTAACGGAATGACGGGGGCATCTCCGACCCTGGAGTTTGGCCGGCTTCGGAGTTCTGAGATCTATCAGTGTATGATGACAAAGAGGACTGCAGCAATTGGACCAATCTAATAAGACTACTATTTACTATCTGAAAACTCGATGCACAAATCTATCAAATCTGGAAACCATCACAACTCCCTAGTTCTTCTATCTCAAGCAACAAATACCTAAACTACCCCGCCAAAGACACCGCTTTTGGTGGGCATTGAGTTTCTGCCGCTTGCGCTCGATCGCATCGCATCGCAAACTCGAGGGGCAAGGGCTATCGGCTTTCCTGTTCAAGTTGTAAAGTGTCAAACTATTTTTCGACTTGATAGAGTCTCTTGTACAATCTAGAGGCTTGGAAATCTCTAACAGTGCGCATCATGGCCGACTTTAGGCAATGGGCTATAGAATTTGTTCTTGCCGATAATGAGGGGCAACAAACAGCGATAGCTCAAAATGCCGCCAAAGGTATCTTATAAATGAAAGCTTTATGTTTTTCAGAACTCAACTAACTTATCTAGAAATCCAGACTGCCCCTGCCAATACCAATCCGTTGGCAAGATGGGTCGAGGCCGTGCAACCATGGATGCCAGGAGGTGGCAATCAGGCCGAAAACGAGACACCAGACTGGACTGCCAGAGCCAAAGGTAAGTCTCGGCCTGTATCGTGATTCAGGGACCTCCTTTTCTAATTGTGATAGCTCTCGAATTCTTGTCTAGAACGTTGGACTTTGTGGCCCAGGATGTCCTAAAACCCAGTCAAGGTAAGCCAACTCCCGTGGCACAACTCAACTCCCGCCTAATATGAGTACAGTAAAGCTACTAGTTAGCTTCTTTGGCGCCATGTTTGAGGTTGATCACAAAGCTGGCATCATGCCTTCGGCAACCGCTCTATCCAGGATAGTCGTCATGAAGTCCTTTCAACGCCATATGGGGCACGAGATCATTCAGAAAATCTGTTCCCTGAAGGACGACTTCCCACGACAAGTAGCCAAGACTCGACTTGAGATTTACGAACTCATAAGGCTGCTCATGACAACTCCTGGAGTGGCTAATGATTTGCAAAACACACATGGCTCCTCTGCTGGTTTCATGCTCGACTTGGTACAGCTTTGCCGAAATGAGCGAGACCCTGAATGTTTGATGGTCTGGTTTGGCATTCTCAGATTATTCATGTCAGAATACACAGTCTCACAAGACGTCTTGGAGGAGGTCTATGGAGTGTTCAAACCATACTTCCCGATCTCGCTCCCCAGAGCATCCCAGGTTGCAATCACCCCTGAAGAGCTAAAGCTACAGCTAAGAAAATGTTTCTCGGCAACCCGCCAGCTAGCTGATAAGATCTTCCCTTTTCTGCTGGGCAAGCTTGACCAGGGCGATGCTGTTACTGTCAACGTCAAGGTGAGTAAACGCATAATTCCTTCTTACTTGAGAAAGCAGAAGCTAACACCTTTAGCTTGATATCCTGAAAACTTTGCAAGCATGCTTGGACGAGTACAGCTATCCTCAGAAGTCAATTGCTCCTTATGCCAGTCAAATCTGGGGCAGCTTGAAGTACGAGGTTCGAAATGGTGAGATTGAAGATACTATCTGGGGTACACTGGAAGTCTTGAAGTCCCTTACTCAAAGACTCACTGGTGATGACCTCCGTGATCATACGCTTTCTGTTACTCGAGACTGCGTCCCAGATCTAGCAACAACCATGTACGCTGCATCCTCTGGTCGGCTCATGATAAGTATCTTAAGCTCCAAACCAAGCGCATTCGTATTGATGGCAGCTCCTGTTCTCACGCATATTAAAGAGAACCTGCGACATCCCAAGGCGCCTGTCCATAGTCAGGACCTCCACAAAGTCCTGCACGTTATACTAGAAACCCGACTGCTTCTCACAGACTCCAACATGACCGCCGAGGATCGAGAAGATTTCGCAGCCATTGATGGGTTCTTCAAGTCTCTCTACAATGAAGTTTACAGGAGTGCAGTTGGACTCGGTTCCAAACAAGATGCCTCGTACGACGATTTGAAGCTTGCGACCCAGGCAGTTCAAGGTGCTGGAGCTCTGGTATGCCAACGGCCTGCTAAATCCTCAGATCCGTCAATTAGTGGTGCGAGCACTATTTCCGAACGACTATTGCCCGAGGAGACGTGCTCGGAAATTTGCGAGTCTCTCTTTGCGATCCTCAAGAGATCAGGACCAGAGTATCCTCGATCAGCGGGAGGCGACGAACTTATTAATGATACAGCCAAGGCACTTCAACGAGCAATTCGCTTATTCCCTCGCGGATTCGATGGTATTGTGGATGAAAGCATGACCATCATTCGCACTGCTAGACAAAATGCCGGAACAGCTGAGGTGGTTGAGACAGTGACGACCCTTGGTGGTCTCATTGCCTTTGTAGGCTCTTCAGAATTACCTTCAACGCCCCGAGATGGATTCGACCACTTCGTCTACTCTGTTAGTGTGTTCCTGTCGGAGCTCTTTGATGCGCTCCAGTCAAAGTCAGATCCTCAGATCTGGTGCGCTTTGGCTGCTATAGTTCAATCCATCATTCGTCATTTCAACGATGCCTGCTTGGTAACCAACCCTGACAAGGACCTCCCAATTGGAGGCGAGGCCTTGCAAACTATTGGCTCCATATATACTGGCCTGGGACAGCTTGGTGAAGGCAAGTCAGCTGAGTCTTCTACAGAATATCATAGCCGGGTTTCCCAAACAGCATCCGTCGCAGAGGTCAGGAACGAGTTCTTGTTGGTCACTCTATTTATTGCAAGGCAGCTCTACCGACAGGCAACCAAGGTCATCGAAACTCACCCCCAGACAGGAAAACAAGCTCTGAGTTTGAGTGACGATTTCGCCAATGCCGATCAAGTCGCTGGACACCAATATCTTCATCTTGTCTCTACTCTAGCAGGATTCATCATTCACGAGCTCAGTGAATCCCAGCAGACATTACTTCAGGCTGAGAATTTCGCAATTACTCTCTTCCGAGAAGATTCTATTACAATCCCCCAGAAACAACCCGATGAGCAGCAAGTGCTAGAGATTAGTTCATCTTGGACTTGGTTGGCATCAGAAGCACCAAATGTTCTATCCCTTGGTGTACTGCAAGCTTTGCAACCGTCAGCAGTTGCACGCCTGGTATGTTTCACCACATTACATCCGGTGTATTTCCAACAGCTAACATGATTATAGTTCGACAATGGGGTCGCTCAGGAGTTGATACTTAGCGGATTCACTGCAGACACGAACTTCAGCAGACCAGTGACACTTTCGATCTTGACTATCCTAGCAAACAAATACAAGATAGAGAGTCTGCCAAGTCTCGTGTCAGCTCTTGAGCAACGCGCCTCGACTCTGCTCACAACGCCGGCGTCCACAAACGAAGGCTCCCATCTGGAACAGATCACTTCCGTTTATGCTCTTGTGGCAGGAATGGTGCGAAGATACAGCGGCAAAGAAGCCAAGACACTACTTGACGTCGTGAAGGACTCACCCAAAGACCCTCAATCCGGTGCTGAGCTTGCTCGCCGGCTTGAAATGATTGTGGCTCCTCAAAGAATACTGATGAAGGAGAATTACGCCATAGTCAAGCCTCTATGGACACAAAAGGTCTTCTTCCAGCTAGTCAACCCTATGCTGCAAGCTGCTACTGGAAAGGATGCCGATGTCCAAGACCAACAAGTCAAAGCCAGCTACAGCACTGCTGTTTTGCTCATGGTGAAGCACATGAGCTTCGCTATTTACGAAACAGACGCGGACAGTATTCTCAGAATCTCTATTGCCGTTGCACAGAGCAATGGCGTTGGCCCTGAAACTAAGGCTGCCCTTGACGTGATTAAGAATATTCTTGCAGAAGCTCCCGAAAAGGGCAAAGGCCATATCCGAAGCATCATCAAGATTTGCAGCAGCGTGTTCTCGCACACACCCAAGTCCGCAACAGAGAATGTTGACATAGGAGGTGCATGCGGCAAGCTTGCGCTAGAGATCGTGGGAAGCCTGCCACGTACTTACGACTCGCAGCATCTGACACCACATGCGCCTCAAGTACAACGGCAATTGACATTGGTCTGTGGACACAGGGTGCGAGAAGTGAGGAAGACAGCACGGTTGGCTAGAGCGGCCTGGGCGGATCTCAAGTAAGACAATTTGGAGTTTTCTAGACAGGAGATACAACTTGGGATATTATCATCAAGTCTTGTACCTTTGGCGAAGCATAAATAGTCGGAAAAGACATATAACATGAAACTTTGTACAAAGCTGCAAAGCTCAGCGTGACATACTTGACCAGGTTGAATTGAAGCCCGGGTCACCAATTCTTTAACATAATGCTGGCGATAGCCTATCAACATGTGATATCAATACATGATTTCCTATGAACGCCGTGAAGAACATAGCCCTTCCCATCACATGGTCTACGACTTGCTTGATTTGTTTTCCTGAACCTTGCGTCGCCCTGCTCTCTAAGCATTGCGTCGCTTTGCCTTCTTACCTGCTGCATCAGCGGTCTCAGCCTCAGCACCAGTCGCGTTAGCCGCCAGGATGGCATCGAGGACATCAGGGCTAGCGTCCAAAAGCTCCTTGGAAACAGTAACGCGCTTGGGATCCCTCTTTCCTATCACAGGCACGGCATTGGCAAGCATTGCTTGGAAGGGAATGGCAACAAACTGGCCAGTCTGGTCGAACCACTCGCTGAAAGGCTTGGAAACCTTGTACACATTGGACTTGAAGTTCTTGTCGGTAACGGTAATGGTGAGGTTGTAGATTGGGACGTTCTTCTTAGTCGAGCTGGCAATAGAGATCTGAGACAGATGTTAGAGGTATGTACACTAGGACCCAGCGGTTTTGGCATACCTTTTCTCCAGAGGGCGAGGTTCCCTCGTAAATAGTATCCTTCTCCTTGAACATGATCCATAGTGTCATGACAGTGTTGATCAAAGTATAGAGTACAACAGCAGCAGCCGTGTAGTGTTTCGTCGTCTCATGGCCAAGCTTGTAATCCCAAGCGAAACAAGCGGCTGCGATACCGAATGCGCTGAAGCCGAGGGCAAGTCGAACATCAGTCAGCGTATGAGACTGTTCGAATTTGAGAGAGTTGAGGTAGTTGGGAATAGCATCGTTAGACGTGTTCTTGAGGTCTGTATCACGAAGAGCCACCGTGTCAGAAGCTTGTCTCGTATAAGAGATCAATCAATGCATTGGGAACTTACCCGCCAAGTTGTAAACTGGAACTTTTTCGGCGGCGTTCGCCATGATGAATTAGTTCCGAGGTTAAGAAGTTCGATTAATATGGTTTGTTGTCAAGAAAGCTGTCGCTCTGTATGTACGTCGTATCAAAGTTCACTGTCATGGGGAAATCTATCATGGGGCTGAAGCATGTGGATAGCTGTCCCTTCATCTTTGGAAGAGCTAACCTAGAAACACAGCAAGCATTTAGTGGGGAGTGTGGCTGCTCCAGGGTCGTTAGTGTACCGCCACCAATGGAGAGCTCCGCCAATATGTGGCGCCGGCTACCTTGAATCGTGGCTATTTGGAGACGTTGAACCTCACATCTCCAACAGCTTCATTACAACGCGACATCAGCTTCGCCATTCCCATATATTCAATCGCACGTTTTGGAATATCGAAAAAATGGTGCAAGTTCCGGTTCAGACCCTTCATAGGGATCCCCAGTTGTTGTACGCCAGCGCCCGATCGATCCGTTGTCAACCCAGTTCACTGACTTGAGCTCATAGCTACTGGATCCTTATCCCCATTACCATCGTCATGGTCCTTACTGGTGTCCTGCGTCACTACGTATCTGTTCTTATGGCGACTGCGCCCAAAAAGCAGGATGAGAAGGCCATGCGCGAGCAGCGTTCTCTTGCTCGTGGTGTAGCTCTCCGTTCCAACCACCATGTCCTCTCTCAGAAGGCTTTCGAATCCCGACGTGATATCCTTACAACCAACTACGAGGCTGGAACTTATCTGAAGGAGCCCGATCGCAAGGGGCAACCTCCTGCCAACCCTCTGTCTGACCCTGGAGCTATGGATGGCATGATGGGCATGATGAAGAACAACATGGCCATGATCATTCCCAACACGCTCATCATGAGCTGGATCAACGCCTTCTTTAGTGGATATGTTATTAGTAAGTCAATTGATAGGCTGGCTTTGGATTTGACTAACAAAATTAGTGAAATTGCCTTTCCCAATTACCATCAAGTTCAAGAGCATGCTTCAGGCCGGTGTTCAGACCCGAGAGATGGATCCCCGATGGATGTCTAGCATCAGCTGGTACTTCCTCTGTATTTTTGGTCTCCAGTTTGTTTACGTCTTCCTTCTTGGTAGCGACAATGGTAAGTGTTTACGTCCAAGTCGGAGTTATCAATGTCTAACACAACGTAGCTGCCAGTCAAGTTGCCCAGCAAATGCAGGCCCAGCAGATGCCCAACCCTATGATGGGTGGCCCTGGCCAGGACCCTCACAAGCAATTCGTCGCTGAGATTGAGAACTTGAACGTTGTTGAGCATTACTCTGTTTTGGACAATGTTGAGGAGCGTCTTTTGGCGGGTATCAAATCGTAGATTCATAGAACGAGCAAACGTATATACGCCAAATACAATGCGGTGACATATCTTTCGGGGCCTTTCTCTTTCCCAGCTTTTCGTACATTAATTGTCATTATGCTCCATCCCACCAGAGACAGACACCAAGTCCTTCAGCAGCCATGCTGGCCTTGATGCGATACGGTGTTTTTAAAGGGGAATCCTCTGGTTGGGTTGGTCCTGCGGGGGCTTGATCGTGCCACTCCTCGTCGATAACCTGGAAGCGAACCATTTCATGGTTATCGTAGAACAAGCGATCCTCCTCGAGATTCCAAATCCAGAGTTGTTCACTGTGGTTGCTACACTACGTCAGCTTTTATTTTTGTGGTGAATAACATATGACTTACTACTCGGCGCCCTCGGGCAACTCCTCAAAAGGCACAAAAATATCGTCGAAAAAGTCTGTTCGCAAGTTGATTCCTGCAGGCGTAGAACTTCGTATTCTGCCGATCATAACTTCACCCTTGAAAGCGCGGAACACGACCATCCGAAATTCAGCTGTGAAAGTACGTCTTAGCCTTGCTTTTGGAGTAGAACGACTTGTAACAAACCATTTACGTTGACTAGACCAGTGCCGTGGCCGATGAGACCTTCTGACGCCCACTGCAAATCATACAAGCAGATGCAGAGACCAATCTTCTGAATTACCTATTTTCTTCAGTTTAATATTAATTCATATAGAAACGCTGTCGTGTGAATCTCACTTTATTAGAGTATTTAGCGTTGATGTTGTCTTCAATCGCATCAATGCTTCGCTTTGAAAAGTCTTCCGGCGCAATTTGCACCAAGTCGGCGATCTTGGTCTATACAGCTTGTGAGTCTTGATTTCGTACAGGATCTTTGGTGGGGAAACAACTTACCAAGATGAACATTTTGATTCAGGACACTAGTCGGTTTAGACCACTGTGATCTCAGTATCGGAGAATGAATGTAAAGAGGCAATAGAAAAACGGAACAAGAGTCAAGAGAACAAGTTGAAATCAGCAAGACCACGACGAATCACCAATCTCTTTAGTCGCGAACTGTTTCCCAGCATCTAAGAACCTTGGGCGTGGTAGAAAATAATGCCAGGGACGCTAGGCTATTTCTAGTTGAGAGGATGGCAACACTGAGTCACCGCCTGCTAGATACGTACTAGCGCTTTGACCACTGTGGTGTGCAGGGAAGTTCGTCACAGGCTCCATGGAGCCGCAGAGCAAGCTCCTTCCGTGTTTTATTATTCTGTTTTGACGATTGTCGTGCCTTCCATTCTTTTTTTTGGAAAGCAGCAACGTCAACAGGTAACTGCTGTCTATCGGATCCTTCCATTTCAATTGCCCAAGGATTTTAAGATTGTCATTCACTCTACCACCACTGAAAACTCCTTTTTTATCTCCTTTACTTATACTTTTGAGATCAAATCCTTTTCTCTGGCTGCAGCATCCCCCAAGCTTTAGACGACTCCCAAAACTCGATCTGACTTTTAATATTACGACCGAAATATTTACGAAGCTATTCATCAATCGGAAAATTGGCGAGAGCCTTTAACTATAGCGGTAACTCAACATTCGAATTCTCCGGTCATTGAACTCAACCTTGCCTTGAGGATCCCCGACCTGCGATCGCCTACACTCAATATCTTTCACCATGTCGGGCTACAGTTACGGTCCTCCACCTCCACCTCCTCCGGCTTCTTCTGGCGGTCCTGTAAGCTACGGTCCTCAAGCTCCATCTTACCCCCAAAACGGTCAGGGTCGAGGAGGACATCACGCTCGCGGACGCGGCGGCCATTATGGCGGTGGACGCGGAGACTACCACGGCTCGCCTCAGGCTCGTTACGAATACGGCAGCCAGCCTCAGCCGTACCCTTCTCATCACAATCCTCCTCCGTACGGTGCTTCACACCCTCCTGCTTATCCCCCTCAGCCTCAATGGGGTCCAGAGCATGGCCATCCTCATGGACATGCACAAGGCCCCATGCCTTCCAGTAACTATCACTCCAACTACGCCGCCCAACCATACCCTCCTTCTCAATATCCACAGCAGCCTCCTTATGGCGCACCACAAGCCTACCCCTACCAAGGGCCACCTCCCCCAAACCAACCCCAGTGGAACGCTGGAGGACAGCCGCCTGGAGGCCATTATGGCGGAGGAAGATCGCGTGGAGGCTACAATGATCGTAATGGACCAAAACCTCCATTAGTCGGACATGTACGCCCTGGTTACGAGCATGAAGCCATGCCACCAGCCAATGGTTATGGTCAACCATATCCCCATGATCCCCGAGCAGTTCATTACCCTCCCCCTCAATATCCAGCGTATCCTGGCCCTCCTCCGCCTCCTACTCACCAACAGGATGGCTATTATGGCCACACGAACCGCCGAGGTCGGGGTGGTTTCCGAGATGGAAACACTCGTGGCCGAGGGGGTCAGCATGGTAACGACAAGTCGCGTCATCAAAAGCATGGACATAACGATTCCAATCACAAGTCTGAAACCCCCATCTTGGGAAAGAAGAAGAAGCGCAAGACCAACACTTTGGGCTTGACACCTGGCATGGATTCAGAATCCGAAGATGATGAAGGGGAAGAGAAGGTGCTGACCGATCTGATAGGACAGGAAACACTCAAGTAAGTGCAGCTTTTCTTTCATCGCTGATGTTTTTCTAACGACTACAGTGTCAAAGATGTTGCCTCATTCTTGGCGGATAGGAAAAAGCACTTCCCTACAAAAGCCCGAGTAGAGGCTAAAAAGACTGCCGAGGTGGCACAAACTGGCGAAGACAAGGCTTCCTCGCTAGAAAAACAGGCCGACAAGCTTAGGCGACAGCTGCGTAAAGTTGAATCGTCTATTAAGCGAAAGCGTGAACAAGGCGACGAAGGTGATGAGATGCGAGACCCGTCTGAGGAGTCTTCAGATGACGAGCCAGAAGTTATGTCTACTCGTTCCCATGTGGCTCCTCCGCCTCCACCGCCGGCCAAGAAAGCCGACGTCTCCAAACATTGCAAATATTATTCAACTGGTGGAACATGCGGCAAGAAGGGCAAGTGTCGCTTCGTCCATGATCCTGAGGCTCGAGAAGCGGCTATGAAGGACCGTGAGGCTAATAACGGGCGCCTCACTATTCAACAACGACTGATCCTCAACGACAAGGAGCAAGAGGATCTTACTGTCCTTCAATCAATTCAGTACCTCCGCAAAAAGGGTTTGATGCAGCCAGAAGATCCTGAGGTGAAAAAAGAGGCGAAGTCCGCCAAGCCCGATCTCCCGGCGCACCCGCCCGCTCCAAGTCTACTTCCTGCTGCATCAGCTTCGTTACCTCCTCCCCCTATCAAAAGAGAGCCTAACTTGCCTCGTCATAACCCACCTCCATCTTCCGTTCCTGGTGCCAACAGTAACAGCACTCAGGGAGTCAAGCCCTATCAAGGATGGACTATGAGGCCTTACGGGAGCACTAATGGGAAGTCGACTAAGAGTGACGATCTGCCTTAATTTCCAGTCTTCTGCAACGTTCTTTTGATGTCACGTACGGTCTCTTGGCGGCCCGTGGCCTGGTTTCTCCTCTTTCAAACGGATAGTTGTCCTAGACTGATATCTGATTTTCCTTCAAGTCTGTATGATTACTACATCGATTTTGAGTCGAGATTTTTGTGTTTTTAATCACCCTCGGACAGATCCCCTACATAAGACTGGTGTCAAGAGTATGGTACATAGGCCGGTGAGCTTTGGTTAGTGACGCTTCAAGGTGCATTGCTTCTGGATTTCACTGATGAAGGCGTTGAAATGATTGGGCATCGAGGGTGTCTAAGTTCTAGACAATTAGAATGGGAAAATTGCATCTTGTGTCTGTTATGCACCCCCTAAAATTATTTGTTTATATGTGCAAAACAAGTTGTTGCAGTGACCGTCCGCAAAGTTGCGGTTTTGTATTCCCTTGCACCAGATAGGTAGTTTACCATAGATCTGCAGTTGCATCACGTCAGAAAGTTGAAACTTCAAAATGTATGTAGTATGAAATGCCGTAGCAACTCGTAGGATTCTAAAATTACTTGCAGACAACGATATCATTCTGAAGCGTTGCCCGCGTGTATCCATGCTTATCTACAGTTATCGACTTGACCAAAGAGAAAAGAATCAACAGACTTTTTTGGCAGTCCTAATCGCCAACCACAATCAAAACCATGCATGCAGCCACGCCCAAGAGCGGTGAAACAAAGAAAAGGGGGAGAGGGTAGATGAAAACTCCGTCGCTAATGTAGCCCCAAACAAAAACCCAAAAGACAAGCAGAAGTAAAGAGTGGGAAAAGGATGCGAATCGGAAGGTGAAACAAAAAGTCGAGTTCATAAAAACACCTCGTGCCAACTAACTCCTCGTCCGTTGCTTACGCACATGTGAAAAATTGTTTGAGTAAAAGGTAGATGGCGTTGATCTTTTGAATAGCATCTGAATAGGGATAAGAGGTTATGACATGTCCGGCGTTCTGGGCACCGGCGACAGTAACCAAAATCGTCAAGGTTTGGACATTGCCAATCAGGCAGGGTATTTGATACGTTCATTAGCGTCGACTGGCACGAAGTTGGTCAAGAGCTTGACGCTTTCGAGCCTCCTTGTCAGCCTTAAGTTTTCTTTCGAGACGTTCCTCTTCAATGTCTTCACGTCGAGCAATCAACTCTGCTCGTCGCTCTTCACCATCGATATCGTCCAAGCCTGCCTCCATGTCTGAAGACGCATCGGACGCATAATCATATCGTGGGCCACCTTGGTCATCTTCATCATCATAGTCAATAAAGTCATCCATGTCCTCATCATAATCATCCTCGAAGCGTGACTTTGAATGTGAGGGACGAGGAGCTCGTGGCGCACTGAGTAATGCTCCCCCACGAGGTGTCTCCTTTTTGGAGGGATTGCCACCTGGGCGGGGTCTGGCGGTACCAGTATAGCCAGTCGTGGCCGCAGCTGCCTTCTTCACCTTCTTGGGTTCTTCTTGAGGTGGTGCAGCCCTACCTCCAGGGCCCTTGGCACCAGGCACCCTGCCTCGCTCTGGTTTTGCTGGAGGTATCGGTCTACCACGCGAGTCCCTTCCAGCCCCAGACAGAGGGGTTCCATTCCGCTGACCTGGTTTCGCTGTACCAGCATAGTTAGTAGGGGCAGGGGCAGGAGTAGAAGCAGTGTTTGGGCGTTGCTTCGTGTTTTTGGCGGCCCGGGAATCAGCCTTTGCGGCTGGCTCATCCCTGACTTTCTTCAAGTTTCCACCCTCAACCTTCTTGTGCTGAATCTTGCCAACCTGACCCATTGCCTGTTGAGCCTTCTGAGCTCGAGCAAGGATCTCAGCAAAGGAACCTTTCTTTGGCGGAGCACCGCGAGCCGCAGGGGGTGCACTTGACGGTCCGGGGGATGGTCTGCTGGGGGCAGCAGGCTTAGATACCCGGTTGTTTCCATTCATGGGTTTGGAGGACAGAACGTTGGGTTTAGTAGCACCATTCGTTAGATTTGAAGGTCGTTGCGATGGGGTCGATCTGTCGGAGGGCCTTGATGGGAGGCTTGGCTTGGAGGATGTAGTGGGAGATTGTGTTGTTCGTGGTGCCACGGTACTGGACAACGTCGTGACTCGAGGCGCCTTTGAGATACTCGATCGGGGATCATCGTCTGCTTTCCTTTTTGGTAACGTGTTCGATCGAGGTAGGCTCGGCGTGGTGGATGGGGCTGACCCCTCGTCACCGCCACTGATCTGGGCGAGGAGATCTCCAATCTGAACCATGGTCAATATTTTCCTGATGTTATAAAGTCTGGCTTCCGGTCAGTTACTCACAGGCATCGTGTCGGATATGAGTCAAAGAATAAAGTTTGTAAGAGGACAGCAGGCTTCAGAGCCAGAGAGGAGCAAGTAGCCTCAGTCGTGGATTGTGAGTCATTGAGCGGCTGTCAAGGTTTGCTCGCTGTTGGTCTGTCGTCAGGCACTTTGACTTCCAAACATTCAGTTTAAGACTTTCTGGTGACGTGAGGCGCGGAATCGGTACAAGGCCTGTTTTTGGTCGTAATCGCTCGAAAATTTGATCCGAAACACCTGAGATACAGGCGATCACGAACAAAAGGAAGAGAAAAGCATGCAATTAGTGAAGAGTAAAGAATCAGTCAATAGCCAACTTTATGGGCGAGGACATGGAATCAGGGAAAGCGCCACAAACTGAACGCGGCGTTGATCACGTGTATCAAATGTGGCGGTGCGCAGACCGGAATTCGTAGTAATCTTTTTCCGATATTCCCCGCGACAGTTAAGCCCAGGAATCACGTGAAGGTAACTTTCCACTCTTCGTCTAGTGCCCACAAAGATATTTCGGTCGCTGGATCGCGAACTTTTCTACTTTTTGTCATACCGAACAACCTTCACCACCGAACTCGAAGTTTCAGTCTCCGCCCAACTTGCGGTTAAATTGATTGATTTCTCTTGTTCTCGTCGACTCTAAACGTGAGTACATAAACCCTGGTTACCCACCCTGCTTCCGGTTTTCGATCGTCTCTATAAAGCACCAATCGCACAACAAGAACTTGGACCTAACATCTCCCGACCAGAAACCACATTCAAAATGAAGCACCTCGCAGCTTACCTTCTGCTCAGCCTTGGAGGCAACACCTCCCCCTCTGCCGCTGATATCAAGGCCGTCCTTGAGTCCGTTGGCATTGAGGCTGACTCTGGTCGCTTGGATACTCTGATTTCCGAGCTTGAGGGCAAGGACATTCAGCAGGTACGTTTTACAAAATATTTCGCAGTCACACACACGATGCTAACAAACTCTCGCAGCTCATCGCTGAGGGTTCCGAGAAGCTTGCTTCCGTTCCTTCTGGTGGTGCCGGTGCTGCCGCTGGTGGTGCCGCCGCCGCTGGTGGTGCCGCCGAGGAGGCCAAGGAGGAGGAGAAGGAAGAGGAGAAGGAGGAGTCCGACGAGGATATGGGCTTCGGTCTCTTCGACTAAGCGATCTCTACCCAGAGATTTGCAAAGTAACGATACCTCACGAATTTCGAAGATGCCACGCACGGGTTGTTCACCAGTTCTTACATGTCTTTTGCGTGGATGGATTGGCCGCTCATGGCTGGATTGGGTCTCTCTAAGGATGGGATAACATACGGTTATGGAAATTAAAAAAAAGGCGGTTCGGCTCTTCGATTATTTTGTTTTCCTTGTGAATGATTTGTGCTCGCCTTGACTCTCTTTGCTACAAAGTCTCCGAGGGGCAGCACTGGAGTGGCTTGGTCACTATTGTGAGGGGTCAAGCCGATTGACTACAAATGAAATTAGGGTTTTGAGGCAGTATCCCACATAAAAAGGTTTGGGACATGACTGTTCGGTCTGACAGAGTTACCCTAGGCCTGCATGCAATACGCAGGTATGATGGTCACGCGGTCTCAAATTAGTTGCCGCTGTACTCTGGTCTGTGTTGTTCTGTGTCTGCCAAAATATGCTGATCATTGACGAGTGCATTAGCTTGGGTCTTGAGTTTTGAGTTTGAAACGAAGAGGGTCGATCGTTGTCGTTTCATGATGGTTGATCTCAGCTGTAAATCTGAATGCGCCTTGTTCATCTGTTGATCCTATTCAGTTGGACCCTGCAGGCATTATCAGCACAAACCCTTGCTAATGCCGAACATCGTTTACTTGAGATTGTTTGAGATGAGATGAGGCTCATGATTTTTTACATACATCATTTTATAATGCATCTGTCAACTGTTGGCCTTTTTTTGTCGGCCATTCAACTTGCACATCCTTGTTCATAGTGTTTGTTGCACATGTGAATACATTCATTATCATAACTTCTAATGTGTTCTTGTAGTTGATAAATAATAAATTGTTTTACCTGGATCGAAACCCCTTAATCTTGACAGGCTCCCCCCAAAGTCGCTAATAAGATTAAATAAATCCTTTGATATCGTGAAGCAAGTACATATGAGTTTTCGTAAAAACTCAAAACGTATTTGATAGGAATACAAAAATGCCTGCCTTATAGAACTCCAGTGTAACATGACACACCCATTGAACGCCTATGTATAAGTAAACTGCAACCACCTATAATATGTGCGACCTGCCACGTTGGCATTTTTCTTTCCGTATATGCAAACCGCTACTCCTTAGGACGGAGACCAGTTGAAATTCTTAATGCTGGTGGTTGTTGTTGTTGTTGTTATTGTTGTTGTTGTTATATCCTGGGTCGGGAGAGCCAGGGAGTTCAACAGGGGCGACCTCCTGAGGCTTGGGGGAAGGAACAGGAGAAGCGGCCATGGGAGGAGGCGCGTAGTGGTCACTGTTAAAGTTAGCAAATGCATATCGTATGAGAAGTAGCATAAAACCTACTGGTATTGGTATTGTTGGCCGTCCTGGTACATCATGGGGCTTCCGTCTGGGTTCATCATGCCGGGGTGAGTACCGTAGGGAAGTGATTGATGAGGGCTCATGGGAGGGCTCTGAGCCTGGCTGTAAGGAGTTGAAACAAGACCAGGGCTCTTCTGGCCACCCCAAGGATCAGCGACACTCTGGTGAGGCGAGTAGACAGGGTTTTCGACGACGGGAGGGCCAGGAGGGATGGCGCTGCTGCGGAAGCTCTTGCGGTAGGCCTTGTCGAAACCACCTCGTCGTCCGCAAAGGTAAAGAAGAGCACCAGCAAGAAGAAGAACGGCAGCACCGCCAACGGCGATACCAGCAATAGCTCCGGTTGAAAGGGACTTCTTTCCGCTTCCACTTCCACTGTCGCTGTCACTGTTGTCGGAATCCTCGTCGTCCTTGCCTGGGGTTGCGGTAGAAGAAGGGTCACCATGCTCCTTTGGCCACTCGTCACCGGGTCGTAGTTGATAGTCGACATCCTTTGCGTTGTCGAGAAGACCCTTTAATGTCTCGTTCTTGGACTATCGTGCTGTTAGTGATGAGATGATCATGAAGGAGCGAGACAAAACTTACAGGGTTGACAATACCCATCATGTGGTAGTTTACACATGATCCAGGAGCACCACAGTAGAAGACAAAAGGGTCAGTATCGTTGACGCGAACTCGGAATCGAGGAGCCTATTCATGTGGTCAGTATTTGTCTTGGAATGTGCTTCTTGTACGGCTCGCTCAACTTACATCGTCGGTAATGGCCTGGACCTTTTGAGTTCCGCTCGAGAAACCCTTGCGGTTGTAGCCGATATACTCGTAGGGAATACATGGGTTATCGTAGTCTCCTCGGATGACCCAATGGTCAGTGGGGTAGAATCGCCATTCGATGATATCGCCAACATCAGCCTCAACCTCAGAAGGTGTGAATTTGTGACCAGACTATTTCATGTCAGCATCAATGTTTACATGACATGTTTTACTGGTCAACTTACAGCTCCGACGTTGATAGTGTGGGTCTTCTCGGCAGCGGTAGAAGTTCCAGAGGCAGTTTCCTCGGCCGTTGCCGTGGGATCTTCTGTAGACTGAGCCCAAACTGTAGCGAAAGCCGCCGCGAGGACTATCAATGACTTGGACACCATTGTGAGTAGCTGGCTAACACCGAATGAGAAACAGCTTGTGGAAGAAGCAAGCAAGTTCAATCCAGGTTTGAATATGCAGCAATGAGGTGAACGAGAAGAGAAAGAGGAGAAACAGGCGGAGAGGACGAAGCTGAGTAACGAGGTCCCACGTCTTTTTACCTTTCACTTGAACGGCGGATCCGTACATAAAGGAACGGACTAGACAAAGGATGGACTGGAGGTGGGTCATAGGCGACAGCCTCAAGGATCCATGCTCGTAGGATGAGAGACGCCATGGGCTATGGCTGGCTGGATACTGACCACCCCTTGGCTTTTGGGGCTGAGCGAGTTGCTTTTTTGTGTTCAGGCTTTCGGTCGGTTCAGCACACCATCAATGGATGCACTTGCATGTACTGAAATGGGTACGGCAGTACAAACAAAGGAGCCAAGCATTTCTAAGCCCGCTCATCTTTGGGAAATCCCAGAACCAAGCTCAGCCTTGTTGGTGATCGCAGCACTTGATAAATCAAGTCGTGTTTCATGTGAAGCATTGATATGTTGCTCTGTGTCGTGTCTTTGTTATTCAGTATAAGGTCTGGATATACATAGAGTTGAGTACTATGCTTAAGTTTAGACCAGATCACCAAACTTTGCCCACCACCACCACAACCACAAGCTGCAGCACAGCAGAGTAGAACGAAGGTACAGATCAGACAATCTCCACTGTCAGCTTATTAGCCAAGTTATGTCGAGGTTAAACAAGACAGACATGGTACATGCTCGTGCTAACACAGCACAGTAAGCACTACTCAAGCATACTGCAGGGATCTTACCATACAGCCAGTCAGCATCAGCCCCAAGTATCCATAATAAGCTGGCAATTTGAGGGTTGCATCCTTCGGTCTGCAGCAACGGACGCTAGTGAACTGAAGTCCCGTAAATTCAACCTCACCTCTTCTTCCCTTCACCTCTCAATCTCATCAGCCCCGTAATGAAGGCTGAGTATCCGTAGAAAAGACTCGCTCGGAGTTGTTGACCCGTTTTGGGCTAATCAACACACCTTTTTTAACAACGAAAATCCTCCTCAGCCTTATACGCCACAGCCGAGCCCGCGTCTAATAGTCCAGGAACGACACAAACAAAGACAGAGATGCTGCAACCCCCTTCCTCGACTGACACGTTTCATGATCCTTTTCCTTGACAGGTTTGTCTTGAGAAGACTTAGGACGAAACCCGAGGTTCGGCAATTTGATGATAGGCTTGGTAAATAAGAAGACACGCTCAGGCCGAATCATCTGCTGCGGCATGTCAGATCGTTTAATGCAGGGCAGGGATTGTTTGCTGGGAGGAGACAACCTGACAACACAACCAGCCGGACAACCCTCGGCCTAGAAATGCCCATCCCCCCTTCAACTCGACCACTCGTATCTTCGCTTTCCGCACTTTTTTACTCGTCAAGCGGCGAATATCTTGTCGCAATCGGGAAGGCCCCAAGACTGAGCACCTTGGAGTTGTGAGGGGCCGGAACCACGCCGCGATAGATAGTTGAGGCGTAGTATGAGTATGCAGTCAATACCAAATCCTATGCAGATCTTCAGTATATAGCACACGATATTTCGTGAACTAGGCCCAAGATCGTCAATCTTGTTCTATAGCTTCGGCCCCCAGGGCCCACGACTTCTCCCGCCTAACTACTAGCAGAGTCTCTTCGCCTCTTCCGTAATAAATTGCCGTCCTGCCACGTCTTGAAACATTTTTGCGATTTCATCAGTAACTCACATGTTTGTAAGCCAAAAGACTGGGTATACCTTGCCGCGACACGATTCGGTCCTGGCTCTGTTTGGCCCTGCACCTGAGTCAGAGAGGCTCGTTGGCTCATCCAGAACAAGACACAACAAGACGGTGAAAGTTCAGACCGGGAAACCCAGCCTCCACAACAGATCTGGTTACCGATAAACGGATCTGCAATTTTCTCATCCAGACTATCGGAACGGGTAAAACAAGAAACAAATCCGCCAACCGACCACTGGTATCAAGTGTTTACAAGCACCTTGTAATACTCGACACAGAAACCCCCTGTATAGGTACTCACAGGCCAGACAAGTAAGCATCTCAGTCAACCTATTGTGGCAAAGAATGTACTTCAGCCAGTTTTTGCCATCATGTCAGAGAAGAGAACGCGGCTAGCATAAGCCTCCTTATCACGAGAAGGAAGAGGTCGTATCTCAGGACCCAGACACTATCGTCCTCTTGTGCCATGGGCATGAGCCTGCTTCAGCTGCCATCCCCTGGCCCTTTGTGTCAGAAGCTTTTTTAACATCTCAGATTTTGTGCTACATAGCACGATACTAGTTCCTGCAGACTGGTTAAGCACAGCGTACCACGGACCGTAGCTGGCAACAGCTACATCATTCTTCAAAGAAGCGGGTTCGTCTGATAGCCCCATCGCTTAAGGTCGTGGCCTCCGTTCTGCAACTCCAAGGCACGGACCCAGCTTTGTCATTGTGATCGCATAGAAAAGGATCAATATAGAAATCAAGAAGAATATTGCATTTATTATCGAAAGAAAAAATCCACCTCTATAAGGTCTTGTTCTTTTTACCTGAACTCCTTGATGAGCCCCCAGGTAGTAGATCGCTCTCCTGAAGAAGCTTGAAGAAGCACCACAGGTAGCAGATGATAAATCCAGCAGCGCCAATGCCGACATTCGCCACGATCCAGAGGTCAGGCTTGTCAGCAGGAGGAGGCGCAAAGGCATCGAGGGCGTGCCACGCACCCATGGCCAGATAGAATGCCCAGTGCAGCAGTGCTGTACCCCATTGGACCCAGACGGCCTGGCCCTCTTGGAAGTAAGCGCCGAGGGAAGTTGGTGGAAGCCCGAGTAGGTAAGACCAGAGAAGGCTCAGAACTGCATACGGAATCTTCAGATCAACTCGCTTGAGCAAAGGGAACATAGTCCAGACTCCCAAAAGGTTAGCAAATCCCACCCAGGCCCGAGTATCCTTGTTTAGGCCCTGCTTTCCAGCCAGGAGCAAAGTCATGGGCATCAATGGGAGCAGAACACTCTTCTCGTGAACCTGGTAGCTGAACAGAAAGAATCCCCAGGCCGTAGCAGCAAAAGCCAGAGGCAGGGTTGTCTTTCGGGGTCGCAAGAACAGGATGACATTAGGGGGGATGATCGAAGCAAGCGTAGCACCGAGAGCTACCTTTTGGAGAAGAGGCGTCGGCCACTGTCGAAGCTTGATGACAACATTGGCGGCGCACCAAAAGTTAGCCACTTTATCTTCAAACAAGCCACGAGCAAACGGAAAGACACGGTGGACCAGCTGGACCATCTGTTCCACGTACGGCCAGTAAAAGGCATTGGTGTCAAGAATGTCGACAAGCTGAGGGAGTAAAGGAAGAGAGGGAGAATCTTTGGAACCTCCGTGTGCGTCAATGCCCTGCGTTTTGTCGTAGAAAGTGCCGAGGATTAGAGGTAAGATGAGAATGGCAAAAGAGACGGCTGTGACAAGCGCAATACCGAAGAGCCTCGTAAGATCGATTCGAGGGAAAACACATCGTCCAAGGAGATAGGAAAAGACGCTGAAAGCGTAGTACAGGGCCATTTGCTTAAATCCCAGTGCGCCTACGAAGAAGACGGCAGCCCACTTGTATCGCTCGGCCAGCATACTTGACATGCTCGCCATGACGAATCCGAGCATGACGGTGTTGTACTGGAAGTGGACATGGTCGATAAGAATCGTGGCGGGCTGCATCAGGATCGCGACGAGTGCAAGCCATGCAGTCCAGTTGGTAACCCCCTGAAGTCTGCTGTATCGTCGCACAAAGACAATCGCGGCCGGGATGTAGATCAAGTACTCCGACACAATGACAGTTGCTCTCATAAAAATCTTAAGATCGGGGTCCTGGTTTCCTCGCGAGGTGAAGAGCGCGAACCACGAAGGGTCGATATAGGATCCAAGCTTGCCCAGAACCCAGCTGTGGTAGGCAGTGAGAGGAGGATAGTCGAGACCCCACCACTGAAGATCGTGGAAATACCATTGCGAGATGGGAAGTTGTGTCGTGACCTCCATCCAGTGTCGCTGGGCTTCGTAGTCGCCGAACATGGGCGGTTTGCGGAAACCTAGAAAAGAAGCTCCATATTAGCGAAAGGTGTCATGATGGGCAAATACCCTAGAAGTGTTTATCCTTACCAGAGTAACCCCACAAACCAGCAGCCCATCTAAAAAGACCGACGACCATGAGTATCACGGGTAGAACCTCCCATTGCGACAACGAAGTACGCGCAGGCCAAAGAAAGGCCGCAAGAGGAAACGCAGGCGCCCTTACTAGGGCTTCTGAACGAGGGGCCCTCTCCTTGACATCGCTGCCACTGCCATTGCCAGGTTTCTTGGGAGTCTTGCGACGGGCCTTGCGAGGTGACGGTGAAGGGACAGCCATTGTCGCCTCGGGATTTGTTGTAGCGACAATGTTAAAGCTCTTCTCTGGTTGATGAATGAGGAGAGAGCGTGGAGCTTCGAAGCTCTAAGTTTAGATGCAATGCACGCAAGCGACCCCGGAAATTTTAGTGGAGATTCTAATTCAACATCGGCCGAAAAGGAGCTTCCGATCCCGACGTCACTCTTACAGTGTGTCAATAATGTCAATTAACACAGTATGGTGATGCCATCAGGCGGCTGGGAAATGGGAGCCGAGAGCTTGGCAAGCTGTTGCGTCACGAACCTTTCTATCTTCTCTACTTTCTGGTTGGATCTTAATATAAGCAACAACAGGGTGAAAGCACTCGCCTTTCAAAATGCCATTTCCTTTCATTCTCCCGACAACTTCCTCTTTCTCCTTCTCATCTAGCTTCAGCTCCGATTCTCACCCTTCACTGCCCCTCAACGCGAGCATGTATCGCGGGGTAGTACGCGATGCCTTGAAGAAACACAAGAGACTTCCCCCAAGCTCCCAAATCTCTAATCTGAACACTGTGATGTCGAGTGTTAATGGCTATCTTCCCTATCTGCTAGCAGTGGACGAAGGTCTAAGCAACAAGGGCACGGTAATTGTTACTCTCAAGACTCCCCCAGTCATTGAATGGAGGCCAACCTTATCGGGCGAAGTCGTCCCAGGGCGCGAGAGGGCCAGAATTAAGATCTCATCTCTGGAACATGAAATTGCGTTTGTGGTCTCAACATTAGGCTTCTCGCATGTTCTAGCATCTCGGTCCGCCTTACAACCTCTCTACTCTACTAGTAGCGAGTTCCTTGGGGCCCAAGAGAGAACCAACGCCATTCAAACAGCAACGAAATCTCTACTTGAAGCTGCTTCGGTATATGACTACCTTGCAAATCGAGGAGAGCATGCCACAGTCAGCCCGACATGTCCTGATGTTTCCCAAGGGACAGCTCGAGCCTTATCTTCTCTGGCCCTGGCTGAAGCCACATTACTCGCTGTCCTCAAAGACGACCCATACCCGGCAATAGTTGCGCAAGACCGTAACAAGAACGACAAAGAGTGGATGTTCAAGGCCCCTGAAATCCCAAAGGTTCGCGCTCATCTATATGCTCGACTTTGCCTAGCAGCCTCGGAACACGCAGCCAAAGCATCGTCTTTACTCAGCACAGCTGGAAATGGATCCCTTAAAATCAACAGCGCTCTTCTAAGATACATAGAAGATCTCCGCCGAACATGTCGAGCTCGGGCCTGCCGTTTCTTTGGAATTGATGCCGAGCTAGGTGGCCAAGTTGCGGACGGCATTGGATGGGTTCGTGCTGGTCTATCAGAACTAGGTGTTGAGCCCAAAGACCACAGTAAGAAGGGCCTCAGCTTTAGCAAATTAAAGAAAGACATCTCAGAAAAGCGCGAAGACCGGCGAGTGGATAAAGAGGCGGCATGGGGAAGTGATGCAGGCAAGTTGGAGGAAATAAGAGTTCTCGAGATGCTTGACGTCAAGTGGAACAAAGTCAATGATACTGTAAGCTATCCTGGTCTTCGTAACAAAACACACACTAATATTATTGCAGATGAACACACAAGTTGTCCCTCCCATCAATACCCTCCTCAGCAAGATGCCAACAGGGCGAGAGATTCATACAATCAAGCCTTACGAAGTCCCTTTACTTGATAGAGACGTGTTGGAAGGCATGCGCGCACCACCAGAGGAAGATGATGCATATGTCGATGACTTGAGTTCAGATGACGATATCAAGGGCGAACCTTCAGCACCGGTTGGTGCGTTCCCTGGAACGGTGCACGACTATTCTCGGAGCCCAAGCACGCCAGGCAATGCATACTATTAGCTATGGTAGCAGGTCAGGGAACTTGAGAGTCACAACAACGTATATATAGAACGAAATTACAGCCGAGTGACAGTATCGTGCTTCTATACATACATGCAGTCTCACCCACTCGTAAAAATAGACAAACTTCAGTATCGCCATCCTTCCTGCCACAGAATCATTATCCACAGCCAAAGAGTTTCAAGTCTCAGTTCAATAAAGAAAAGCCGGGGGCACATTTAATCGACCAATCGTGGGGTAGGAACGACGGTTGTGAATTCCCCGTCTCCAGTGATAATCGGAAGAGTAATAGTTGGATCAGGAGTAATAACTGGAAGGGTGATTGTGGGATCGGGAGTGATAGGAGGGATGATTGGCGTATAAGTTGATGTGCAGAGTGGTAGTGTAGGAGACTCCTCGGGTTTGCAAATGTCCCAGCAGCTAATCGTAGTTAGTATCGATATGATTCAAGTAAATACCAATAGTTGGTGGTTAATACTTACCCTCCCCATGGTTCACCACAGTCATTGACGCCATCCTGGCAAATTGTTGCACACGGAGGATCAGAACTAAGAGGAGCCGCAGCGCCCAGCCCGGCGAGGGTGACAGCGCTAGTGATGGACTTGAAGAGCATGATTATCGATGGATGAAGTTTGATGTTGTTCGGTGTTTTGTATGATTTGATGAACGGTTGGTCTTTTGGGAGGAGTGTTTGCCTTTATATGTGTAACGAGAGCGACACTTATGCCAGATTAAATTGCAACAAAATCAAGAAGGAGAGAGAAAGCAAGGACCATTCGCTGACCGCATTGACGCGTGATCGACTACCAAGACTCAATGGTGAGAAAAGCTGCCAATATACGAGGCACGCACATTCCCCAGCTCAGAAAGATCCAATAAACTCCTGTCAATCATAGAAGTTGCGAGACACATGGCGATCGTGCAACGTCACAGGTCAATATGAAGGCAGGAGTAAAACATCAGCAACACGGTAGGTACCTAGGTATGCTCACAGAAACAGTACTGCTGAGTGCCGTTGAACAAGGCATCTAACTTGAGAGGGTTTCGAAACATCATGTCTTAGCTCGTATAGAGACAACAAAAACGTCATCAGCATGCCGACAACAGGTTCTTTTGAAGCCGGGTGGTTGGCCATCATTTAGTTATTGTCAGAAGCTTTGAATAAAGATATCTAACAGAATGGACGATAGGTAACATAAATATTAACTCAAAAGTGAAATAGATTAGTAGCAAATTGACTTAAATTTCATCTCCTATGCTTCCAGCGGCCAACGTCTCTAATGCCTTGACGCACGGCAATCCTAGGCTAGTGTGCAAAGCAAGACAATACAGATTCAAGCTTGTAAGAAATCTCCGAAGCCACTTGGGCTCGGTTCAATTAACTCAATGTACACTGTTTGACTGCTCTGCTTGTGCACATGTACCGCCAGTACCAGCCACCCTGAGGACCGTCCCGAAGCTCAAAACGTTGACATTAAAGAACCTTTGCTTTAAGACAGCCCCTTACATTGGATGATGGAAGTCAAAAGACACTCAACGGTATGCAGGTCCCCTGTAAGTGCCGATCACCGTTCAAGTCGATCATGGAGTGAGTGTCTGCAGGGTTGATGGATCGACCAGCTTATCCCCACATCAGGATAATAGACGAGCAGAAGGATGAGGTAATGTGTCTCTGATAGACACAATTTGCGAGTATCCCTTGGCCCCAAATAGAAGAATCTATCCGCAATTTGTCTTCCCTTGAGTCGCAATCCTGATCGGAACTGTCGGTCTGTTGCCGATCGGGGGTAGGCCAGGTCATATTGATTGACAGACATGGCTCGGTTCGGCTGCAACTTCGGTATGTATATCGGTAGAATAGCTTCAATGTTAGTCTTTGGCCAACATAAGAACAACTTATATCGAAACAGGTAAGCTAAAAGTGAACGATCAAGAAAATAATATTGCCAAGTTAGCTATCAGAACACAGCATGAAACTCCTTTCATCTAGCATATACACAGGGTTAAAGTCCTAATAATCTCATTCGCAGTTTTCATCTGCGATAACCCTTCAGATCGCTTCCCCCTCGCTCGCTACATTCGTTTTTACAACAACTTATGTTTTATTCGTTTAGTTGCCGAAAGCCATCTGCTTCTTGATCTCGGCGATCGCCTTGCCGGGGTTAAGACCCTTGGGGCAAGCTCGGGTACAGTTAAGGATAGTGTGGCAACGGTACAAGCTCATTGAGTTCTCGAGGTTCTGCTTTCGCTCGGCGGTACGCTGGTCACGAGAATCGGCGAGCCATCGGTAAGACTGGAGCAGGATAGCGGGACCAAGGTACTCCTCAGAGTTCCACCAGTAAGATGGGCATGAAGTAGAGCAGCAGGCGCAGAGAATGCACTCGTAAAGACCGTCGAGCTTGCGTCGGTCCTCCTTGGTCTGTCGGTACTCCCGTCCCTATTAATTTGGTCAGCAAAAGCGAGTATCTGCAAGTTAGAGAGAAGTCGTACGTCTTCGGCAGGGGTGTCGCGCTGGAGGTAGGGCTTGATGCTCTTGTACTGCTTGTAGAAGTGCGTCAGATCAGGGACAAGGTCCTTGACGACGTAGGTATGAGGAAGAGGGTAGATCTTGACGTCGGAAGCAGCCTCGGTAGGGATACGGCCTAGGTACTTTATTAGCGTTTTGTTTTCGTAGTCGTGATATGCCGCATGCGACTCGGGTCAAGGGGTCGTACACAAGCAGGCAAGGGTGTTCTGGCCGTTGATGTTCATGGCACAGCTACCACAGATACCCTCACGGCAACTTCGTCGGAAGGTCAGAGTAGGGTCGAGCTCGTTCTTGATTCGGATAAGGGCATCGAGAATCATGGGTCCAGTCTTGTTAAGATCCAGAGTGTAGGTCTGGAGACGGGGCTTCTCGCTGGGGGTATCGGGGTTCCATCGGTAGATCTGGAAGGACTTCATCTTTGACTCGGGCTCCTTGGCAGGCTCGCTGACGGAGGCCATAGAACGAGTGAAGACAGTGCCGGGTCGGATGGCAGCCGACCTTGAGAAGGCGCCAACAAGGCGAGAGGAAGATCGAAGAGCAGCCATGGTGGATCGAATCGAATTACAATTGCGATTGGGACCGGAGGAGAAGGACAGTCAAACTTCGCGATATATAGTTGGAGCTGTAGTCAGGCGATTGACAGGAAGAAATGCCGTACAATCCCCTCCGTTAGAGCTGAATTGTCGATATTCTCAAAGGGTGGCGGCCAGAGGATTCTCGTCGTCATGTATTGGGAAGGCAAACCTTCCTCGGTTATTGCAGTTTACACTGGGACTTGCGGCTTCACCCTGGCCAATCAGAAATTAGCGATTGTCAACTTCGGCTCTCATACACTCGGAATCGACAGGAACGGGCTCGTGAAAACACGTGACTCATGGAGATCGATCTCGGATCATCAACGGTTATCAATAATTGCGGAGATGAGGTTCCGAAATATTTCATACTGTTAGGTGGCTTGAATTCATCAATTGTGCATGTGGCTGTGCTTAATTCCCTGTCTTTGTTCCGAGGAATTGGTTCTCCACTGGAAACTTTGACAGAAAGAAGATTGGAGGGGCCCCGGACAAGATTAGATAACAAGTTGGTGTATCGGCGCTCAACAACTTTGTTTCTCCGTTCGCGATCCCACTTCTCATGACACTGAATTTTTCTCTTACGATTTCCTTGGCAAAGATGGTTTCTCTGTGATCAGTTCTCGAATTCACTGGTTATTAATATTGTTATCATTCGCTGTTTGACCGCTCGAAACCGCCAATACTCCCTTCAATTCTCGTCTCGTCCCGATCCACTTCTAGCCCTCCATGGCCGCACCTTGCAACCGACTGGCTGCAGCTTCATGGCGAACGCTTGCTAAATGTTAGTCGCGCCATATATGTGATCCCTGGATATTCGTGGTTCTAATTGCTTCAGTTTCGAATCAATCTTGCCCTCGACTTCGAACCCAACATCATGTCGCAATGACCTCATGCTCGCGATCGAAACTTTACTCCACCTCACCCGATACATCTCGATTCTCTTACCATGTCGCATCGTCATTTATTGCCAAAGATAGACCATACGATCCTTCTAGCCACGTCTTTCACTTCAACCCATACAATCGAATTCAGCCCCCAAGAAACCGACGACGACCTTCCGCCCGTCCCGAGTCTGGCCACGATGCCTTCTTTGTCAGCCGGGTTAACGATTCCGGCTCAGTAGCCTTTGGCGTTGCTGATGGCGTCGGAGGCTGGGTAGACTCTGGTGTCGACCCCGCTGACTTTTCCCACGGATTCTGCGACTATATGGCATTAGCTGCCCACGAACATCAGACCAGCTCGGAGCCCCCTTTGACGGCTAGACAATTGATGCAGAAGGGATACGATGCGATCTGCAACGATCGCAGCCTTCGCGCTGGTGGAAGCACAGCATGCGTAGCCATTGCAGGAGCAGACGGAAATTTGGAGGTTGCGAACCTGGGTGATTCCGGCTTCCTGCAACTACGATTAAACGGTGTTCACACTTACTCGGAACCTCAAACCCACGCCTTCAACACACCTTTTCAACTGTCGCTTGTACCTCCTAGTGTTGCTGCTCGCATGGCAGCTTTTGGTGGCGCTCAACTAAGCGACCTCCCCCGCGACGCTGACGTTACCCAACACGCACTTCGCCATGGCGATATAATTGTCCTCGCAACCGACGGTGTTTTGGACAACCTGTTTAACCAAGATATACTCCGTATTGCCAGTCGAGTCTTGGTGTCTTCGGGGGCTTGGGTGATGACTGAAGCTGGTGGTGTTGGTGTGGCAGAGTCTTTGGAACCCCTGGTCGAGCTTCCCGATAACTCCGAGGGCAAGCGAACAGTAACACTCCAGAGCGCACTCGCCACCGAACTTGTGACAGCTGCCAAGCGCGCCAGCATCAACACCAAGGTCGACGGCCCATTTGCCAAAGAAGTTCACAAATATTATCCCCATGAGAACTGGCACGGAGGCAAAGTTGACGATATTTGTGTGGTGGTGGCGGTGGTCAACGAGATTGCCCCTGCTCCAAAGAGCAAGCTATGATTTACTTTGTCAATTTTGTTTTACGGCGCAGTTTCATGATAGAGCAGAGTACGACATATAAAGATGGGAACGCAAGCATTTGGTTTAACTTGGGAAGTTTGGAGTCTTTAAGTCGGTCACATAGACGGCAGAGGAAGCGCTATGACTTGCTTGAATCATGGGGTTGTATATGGACCGGGCGCAATGAAAAGGGATCACATACATTCTTAATTAAAAGTAGTTTGTGTTTTAGGATGCTTCTATTCATGTTCCTTCTGTTTACAATGCTGAGACACATCTTGAGTTCTGTGGTACACGAAATTCATCGCATGGCATAAACACAGAATATGATGCAGATAAAGAAGAAGAAAAACTCTGAAAAAAGAATTTTATAACAACCAGCTCTAGCTCAACACCCATAGTTATCTTTCTTCGTAGACGGTGTTTTTAGGTGGTGACCTCCAGGGTAGGTGAAATGGGGTGCAATCATGATCATGACATCACCAACTCATGGTGTAATAAGACTTACCACAAAAGTTGGCACAACTTTGTGCTGCAATATTTCAATTCCAATATCAAATTTAAGAATCAATTATGACAGACATCTATATAGTATGCCATCGAATGCCCCCCCTGCTTGTATAACTCTACTGACACTCATAGGCTGGTGCTATTGCAGCATTTACAGTAGACGTTTTGGTTTACCCTCTTGATACTATCAAGACTCGTATGCAGAGTCAAGATTATATCAAGACATATTCAGGGAGTTCGAAGAATGTATGGGCCATAAGAGGGCTTTACCAAGGCATCGGAAGTGTAGTGCTGGCTACTCTTCCAGCAGGTATGTCATGAACCAATGGATATGATGATTAGTTCAGCTTATATAAATTGCAGCTGGTCTGTTCTTCTCAACATATGAGAGCGCGAAAAAAGTCATCGGCAATGCGACACCACTACCACAGCCCTTGGTCCATTCAGCAGCTTCAGGAGTTGCAGAAATGGCGTCCTGCTTAATCCTCGCACCAGCAGAAGTCATCAAGCAGAATGCACAAATGCTGCATAACGATAGTCATGGGGCCTCGAAGTCTGGATCATCAACATCACTACAGGCTTTCCGTCAGCTGGCCGGTGATGGTGCATCCCGACGTCTGTTTACTGGCTACACAGCACTCGTTGCACGAAATTTACCTTTCACAGCTCTTCAATTCCCCATTTTTGAGCACGTACGTTCAACATACTGGACTTCCAAAGGACCTGATAGTTCAGACCCAAGTTTAATCGAAACAGGGTTGGTGACAGGTCTAAGCGCAGGAAGCGCAGGATCAGTGGCAGCTTTCATAACCACACCAAGCGACGTTGTCAAGACGCGGATGATGTTGAGTGCCGGTAATCAGAACGAAAGTTCCACGCAGGGCCAGGGTGAAGTTGCGGCTAAGATGGAGGGGAAACGCCCAAAGAAGGGAGCATGGACCGTGTCCAAGGAGGTTTACCAGGAAAGGGGAGTTCGAGGCTTTTTCCGGGGTGCGGCTCTGCGGTCATCATGGACGATGTTGGGAAGCGGACTATACTTGGGGTCTTACGAGATGGCCAAGGTCTGGTTGAGAAGAGGGAAACCGGGTGTTGAGGATGATGCTGTGCTATGAAGGGGAAGATGTAAGTTAAGATTAGACCATAGACAATTGATTCAAAGAACATATTTCAATTCAGCCATGTATGAGGCAAATAAACGTAAAATGCTGCAATGTCATGAGTCTTACAAGTTACACCGCTGATATTCCAATGCAATGCAAAGGATCAACAAAGAAGACCATAAACCCTATGTCGACATCCTTGTGGCTTCTGACGCCTTCCCCGGATTACATATGCGACATAACCGAGAACACATATAAAGTTTAGTCATGATCTAATTCTATCTGTACAGGTTGGAATGCAATGTATTTACGGCCATATGAACCCGTCTGTGTAAACAACAGTCATGTCCAAGATGCTCTTGTGACTTATTGACCTCAACAACTAACCACAGCAGGAAACTCAAGAGCTGGACAAGAGTACCGGAACTTTAGCGCCAACTGGAACTGTCACTGAGTCTTGGCTTGCACTAGTGGCGGACGGTTTTTTTGTCAGTTGAACACCCCTTGTTACACAAAAGTATATTCGTACCTATGTTCCGACCTCGCATTCTTCTCCTAGCAGATGCTAATATTTCGGCGAATAGTTATTGGTGTATGTGTCTAGCGGTGAGGAACTGACTCTTTCAAGTGCCGCTCTCAAACAAGCGACTTCCCGAATGTCACCATTGATACATGTGCCCAATCCACGGGTCCAATAATGTTAAAGGCTGAAGACGAAAACACTATTCAAACCCTGTCCACTTGAAAGCTTTGAGCCTGTTTCCTTGCCTTCCACACAGTTAGCCGTAGAATCTTTCCATGCTACAAATAGAAGCCCTGGCTGACTCGAGGCAACGATTTTCACTGGTCTGGATCGATCAATCTATGTTTCGAGACGACCGGCCTCTCGCACTAACATGTCGGCATTGGCAGAAAGTCCCCGTGAGAGTCTTGACCGACCCACATGTACCACTTCGTCGTCGTCTCCTCCGGATGGTGTCATTTAGCACGTTATTTACGGCTTGATGGCCTAACATGCTGAGGAATGAGTCTTTACGACAATAAAAAGGCCGATGACTCGCTGTTGTAGTTTTGCCGTCTTGACTCGTAGTTGTCCAAAGTCTACCCCTCGAAATCTGCCATTGTCTAAAACACAAAAGCAGTACCAGACAGACAGTTGATACTGACTGGACAACATCAAAGACACGACCGTATAACAAATTTTCTGCACTTACAGAAGCCACAATGGCAAATGTTGACATTCAAACAGCACCTGGTGCGGCTCTGGACATCTTCTCAAAGACTGCTGCGCAAGTCGACGTAAGAGAGATCAGCTCGACCCTGACTCCATCGGATCGATACCTCGTACAATCGCCATATACTGAGCAGGACCATTTGCTCGATCTCGAAACCCTCGACAATGAGAACAAAATCCTTGCAAAAGCCCTGGGCAAATTTCGGGCTCTACGCGAAGATTATGCGACCGCACCATACACAGAATCTTTCAACTGGCCAGAAGTGATAGAAGAAGTGAAACGCCTTGCCCTCGAGTCTGGCAAGGGTTTCAAAGAGACGTCATTCTATATCGTGGCATTCCGTTCACGGATCAAGCAAACAACTGAATATGCCGATCTTGGCCGTCTCGACAAAGGAGCTCATGCTGAGGCTGTTGCAAGTGGTGGCTTCCTAAAGTGAGTTGAAGAACCTTGTGTTTCACGAGTCTTGCATATTGACATGAATAGGTACTGGTTCGGTGAGCCTGACTCAGTATTGGCCAACTTGGCAACTTGCATCTGGAGATCTCGAGAAGATGCAAAGAAGGGCGGCACTGGTCCAGCTCATCGAAAAGCTGCAGGGGCAACGCGGTCCATGTATGCATTCTGGCAGATTGATCAGCACCGACTCATCATTCGAGACAATGTTGAAGACTGGGAAATTATCCCATGGAAGGATTCAGCATAATGTTAAGAGAAAACTCTCCAGTCGTTTGCTCATCTCTTATGAGGCGTTTGGGATTATCTTCAAAAAGTTTAGAAAAGGGTTATGCTTTAGGATGCGGGCACTGGGTATGGAAATATGGGACGGAGCGAGTAAAAGGCAAACGGCGTTATTAGAAAGGAACATTGATTGGATATTGGTAGAAATCTAGATAGTAGACGACTTAAGAAATATAAAGAAGGCGCTTCCATAAATTGGTTCCAAGGCAATGTAAATCGTCGAAAGTTAAGCATAGAGACTATGCGCCGTAGAACAGAACGTAACATGACCGGACTCGTGAGCAAGAAATCATCAAATCCATTAGACAGATAATTGAGCATAATATCGAATGTTTTGACTTTTGAAAACGCATTGCATTACTGTTGCACGCATTCTGTCTGTTGGTGATAAATGGAGGTAGTTATTCGGCTCTGCATCTTTCAAGCACGGGATATATAATCTGCCGTACTTCACCGCCTCAGCATCCCACAACGCCCACAAATGAGTACACGAAAAGTTTCGATATTTCCACCTTTAGAGTCCCGAGGCCTTGCAACACCACCCGCCCTTTTCGCGATCATAGTGCTGAACCTCTCTACGTCTCTCGCGGCCCCGTGAATATCTCCTCCCGAATTTTTGTCAAGATGGCGGACGCTCAGAACGATGCGCCTGCTACTGCGCCTTTCCAGGCCATCCAAGTTGAGGCTTTGGTGAGTTGAACATGCCCCACCTTTCGAGACCCCCTCTTGAAGTAGAAGTAAGAGGACTGATCTCAGTTCGTGGTGTCTATAGGTTATTATGAAGATCGCCAAGCACTGCTCTTCGGCTTTCCCTTCTGTTGCGACCGGAGCTATTGTTGGAATGGAGAGTGAAGGCCTCCTTGAAGTCACCAACACCTTCCCTTTCCCTACTGTCGACCCCACCACAACCGATGGCCACCAGAGCGATGCCTCGCAGCTCGCCGCTGCTGCTCCCCGACAGCAGAAGAACATTACCTACCAAAACGAGATGATCCGACACCTCAAGGAGGTCAACGTCGATGCCAACAACGTTGGTTGGTACACAAGTGCCACCATGGGCAACTTTGTCAACATGAACTTCGTTGAGAACCAGTTCCACTATCAAAGCACCAACGGAAACGCCGTCGCCCTCATTTACGATGCCAGCAAGAGTTCCCAGGGCAACTTGACCTTCCGAGCTTTCCGCCTGTCTCCTGCTTTCATGGCAGTCTATAAGGAGGGCAAGTTCACAACTGAGATGTATGATGCCTCTATATACCGCTGATGGTGATAAAGATGCTAACAAAGACTAGCTTGCAAAAGTCCAAGCTCAGCTTCAAGGACATCCTCGACGAGGTCACTGTCAGCGTCCACAACTCTCACCTCCTCACAACTTTCCTCCACCAGATGCCATCCGCTCCCGTTAAGGGTGCCATTGAGCAGCCCACATCGCTCGATGACCTCCACCGCAACGCTCTCGAGCCCCCTCTGTACCCCTCGATCGACAACCTCGACCTTGCGATCGACCCCTTCCTCGAGAAGACCTGCGATCTCCTCCTCGAGAGCATTGAGTCGCACTACACCGACCTCAACAACTTCCAATACTACCAGCGACAACTCGGTCGTGAGCAGACCAAGATCACACAATGGCAGGCCAAGCGCAAGAACGAGAACGCCCAGCGTGCTGCTGCCAAGCAGGAGCCTCTTCCCGAGGATGAGTGGCAACGACTGTTCAAGCTTCCTCAGGAGCCTAGCCGACTGGAGGGTATGTTGAATGCCAAGCAGGTGGAGCAATACAGCAAGCAGGTGGATGGATTCACAGCCAACGTCAGTGCCAAGATGTTTGCTGTGAGGGAGGACTTGATGCCCAAATAAATGGAGAATGAATGAGACGGGGTTCAAAAAGTCTCGAAGAAATTCAAGAAAACGAGACGCTCAGTGATGGTTTGCATTGGCGGCGTTCCGGACAACGTGGAATAATATCGAGTGCTGGTCTAGATTTTAAAGCGTTGAGAAAGAGAGGAGCACTTGATGAGTACATGATGGACCAGCCTGACGTTGATGATGGTGACGTTGTTGAAAAGTCAAAGAGAAGGACACGACTGTAGCCTTGATCCACAAACTCGGCTTCGTAGATAGCGCTTGCAAACCGAGCTCTCCAAGTAGGAGAGTTTTGATCAATCTTAACGTTTAAAGAAGTATATGTATGGGATTACGATATATCTGCATTTCTAAGACATTTGCGTTAGGCTATTGGGTATATTAGAACCATTTCAGTATATGAGACATATTCTTCATACTACAACTGCATATAGTGTGGAGTGATGCTTCTGTCACTGGGGTATCATTGCTGGTAGATGACAACAACAAGCTAATATTTCTCAAGCACCTCTGACCATTGCACTCGAGACTAGCCTGGGAGGTCGGTCTGTATCTTGCAGGACGATCAATGACCCGTAGTATTCGCGTGAAGCGGTTCTCGGCTTCCGAGCGGGGAATATCAAGGGTCAGCACTGCACTGCATGGTACGCACGGTATGTAAAGGTAGTAAACAATTGTGAGGCAAGACAAGACAAGGCAAGACACGGACAGCTCAGAGCTTTCAATTGACAAGGTAGCGGGTAAATCTTGAACGGAAAACAGTCTAGTGTGGCTTTTGCCCACTCGTTGAACGAGAAAAATCAACGTGGTTGTCTACGGATCCTGTCCGTATTCGTACCAAGATCCGACTTGGATGAGCTTCCTAGGCTTTCCCACGATGAGAAAGCTCCTCCCGTCTCTTTCATTTTTTCTCTCCAATGTGGATTCTTATTAGGGGACACCGAGTCCCTGAGATCCACTCGGGTACCTGTTGAGGCGCCAACCGACCACCCGTTTAAAAGTATTTGTTGCCCCGCCTCAAAAATTGCTCCGTCTCAATGGCAGCAGAAAATTCTGCCCCTCATTTTGCCGTCCATCTTTCTCACCGCCCGCGTAAACTGCCCCACCGACCCTTGCAAAACCCCTCCCCCTCCATTGACTCTCAGCCCATAGCAGCCGTCTTTCTGCCCCGCCCCAAGTTATCTTGTTGTCTGGTCTTCCATCTGCTAAGACTTCTTCAACCTACATATTCCTCCTCTTCCCTTTCACTTTTTCCTTTCTCTTCCTCTTCTTCTATTCTCTCTTCTCATCAATCCTTTCATCCTCTCCTCCACCTCATCCATTATGTCTGCTCCCGCCCACAAGTTCAAGGTCGCTGACCTTTCTCTTGCCGCCTTTGGCCGCAAGGAGATCGAGCTCGCTGAGAACGAGATGCCCGGTCTCATGCAGACCCGAGCCAAGTATGCTGCCGACCAGCCTCTCGCCGGTGCCCGTATCGCTGGTTGCCTTCACATGACCATCCAGACCGCCGTCCTCATCGAGACCCTTACTGCTCTCGGTGCTGAGGTTACCTGGACCAGCTGCAACATCTTCTCCACCCAGGACCACGCCGCCGCTGCCATTGCCGCCGCTGGTGTTCCCGTCTTCGCCTGGAAGGGCGAGACCGATGAGGAGTACAACTGGTGCCTCGAGCAGCAGCTTACTGCCTTCAAGGACAACAAGAAGCTCAACCTCATCCTCGACGACGGTGGTGACCTGACCACCCTTGTCCACCAGAAGTACCCTGAGATGCTCAAGGACTGCTTCGGTGTCTCTGAGGAGACCACCACCGGTGTCCACCACCTCTACCGCATGCTCCGTGACAACAAGCTCCTTGTCCCCGCCATCAACGTCAACGACTCCGTCACCAAGTCCAAGTTTGACAACCTTTACGGCTGCCGTGAGTCCCTTGTCGACGGTATCAAGCGTGCTACCGATGTCATGATTGCTGGCAAGGTCGCTGTCGTTGCCGGTTTTGGTGATGTCGGTAAGGGTTGCGCCATGGCCCTCCACGGAATGGGTGCTCGCGTCATTGTCACCGAGATTGACCCCATCAACGCTCTCCAGGCTGCTATGGCCGGTTACCAAGTCACCACCATGGAGAAGGCTGCCAAGTTCGGTCAGATCTTCGTCACCACCACTGGCTGCCGTGACATCCTCACTGGCGAGCACTTCGAGGCTATGCCCAACGATGCCATTGTTTGCAACATTGGTCACTTCGATATCGAGATTGACGTTGCTTGGCTCAAGAAGAACGCCAGCTCTGTCCAGAACATCAAGCCCCAGGTTGACCGCTTCCTCATGCCCAGCGGCCGCCACATCATCCTCCTTGCTGAGGGTCGTCTTGTCAACCTTGGCTGTGCTACCGGCCACTCTTCTTTCGTCATGTCCTGCTCTTTCACCAACCAGGTCCTTGCTCAGATCATGCTTTACAAGGCTGCTGACAAGTCCTGGGGTGAGAAGCACGTCGAGTTCGCCAAGACCGACAAGCTCGACGTTGGCGTCTACGTCCTCCCCAAGATCCTCGACGAGGAGGTCGCCCGTCTCCACCTTGCTCACTGCCAGGCTGAGCTCTCCACCCTCAGCAACGTCCAGGCTGAGTACCTCGGCTTGACCGTCGAGGGTCCCTTCAAGGCCGACATCTACCGCTACTAAGCGCATAATCAATACCCAAGGATCCTTCAACTGGACTCCTACGTGTGACGAACTTTCCCTCTTCTGTCGACATGACAATCGGCAAAATTCTAGTTTCAACAGCATGAACTTGCATGGCATATGGGTCGGGAGAGTTACTAGGACATCTGCGGTTTTCTGATTTTTTTACTCTTCTCTTCTTTGTTTCTGCTTATTAGGGTTTACTTCTCCTCTCATACCGAAGAGAAGGCTCCTCGCAGGGTGCAGGGAGGGGCAAAAAGATCTTTGCTTTTTCAACAAAATGGCGTTGGCTTTTTTGCTAATCATGATTCCCCCCTTCGAGATATAAAAACGGATGATGAATGGAATGAATATGGATGGATATGACCAAGACGAGACCTCCCCCACAGGGATGGAAGGAATGGTACCTCGATAAAGGTAGGCCCGTCAACCGTGGCCAGGATAGGGTAGAAATTCAAAAGAGATTTTCTTCCTCTAATATTTTGTTCGTTGTGTGACATATGTTCTGTAACGCTTGGCTTTGATAATTCACGGTTGGTCTAACGTTGGGTGCTGTTGAAGCAATGGTCTCCAAGCTTGAGGCCGCTCACATTGCTTCACAACTGGTTCCAACTCTGTTACAAGCCATGTTAATGCATTTATGAATTAGAAGGCCTTCTACGACGGACGAAATCAGTTGACGGATTTCGTTCTATTTATCTTTAAATTCTATACTAAGTCGATGAAGCTGGGACTGAGTCTATCTATTGCAGATCATTCTGCTCTGGCACGATACTCTTCAGTTTTCCCTCTGTCACTGCTAGGCGAATATTGTCAAAAGCCCAGGCCGCCATTGCCTTTTCGGTTTCCACTGTCCAAGTCCCCATGTGCGGGACTAGCAGTACATTCTTGTTACTTACCAAACCTGGATGGATCTCAGGCTCGTTCTCGAAAACGTCGAGTCCGGCGCTAGCAACTTGTCCTGACTCAAGGGCGTCGACAAGAGCGGCTTCGTCCATTACAGCACCACGAGCGGTATTGACGATGACAACACCGCGCTTCATCATGTCTAACTGAGGCTTCGCGATTGTATGTCGTGTCTTGGACTATCAAAAGTTAATACATCTGTTTGAGGATGTGGAACTCTTGAGTTGACTCACGTTCAGGGGTAGGTTGAGACTCAACACATCGCTTTCTTTGAGAAGAGTCTCAAAGTCAACATACTCAGCTTCGCCTTCTAGTTCTGGAGCTAAACGGCTGCGGTTATAGTACTTGACGATCATACCAAAAGCACGAGCTTTACGGGCGACATTCCGACCTATACCACCCATTCCTAGGATACCCAGTACCTTGCCTTGGGGATCATGGCCTAGTGAGGGTGCAGGGTTGCCACGCCAAGTGCCTTCACGCAGAGTGAAGATGCTGGATGAGAGGTTTCTCAAAGCACCGATAAGAAGGAAGATGGTTATGTCAGCCGTTGCATCATCTACAGCTGTTGGCGTGTTGGAAACACGGATACCACGAGAAGTACATTCTGGGATATGAATTTGATCATATCCAGCGCCTGAGAGAGTCAGTAAACTTGTGTTATTTGTGGCTTAAAATGATTGGCCGGGCCGTACCGTTATGACATATAAACTTGAGTGTATTGGGCAGATTATCAAGTAACTCGGCATCAAACATGCCAGCAGTGCTGTAAGTCTTGTTTGTGCGGTAGATAGCCTCGATTCCATCAAAGGCGCCAGATTTGCTCTCCTCTAGGAAACCAGCTCGATCTATTGATTTGGGCCAGATTACCTCTACAATCTCAGAGAGCGAGTCGAACTCCTCTTGAGCCCTGAGTAAGTTGTGAGCATAACTGAACAATAACCAGAAATTATCGACTTCTTGGGGGACTTACTGCTTGGTATTACCCAGGAAAAGAACCTTTGGTTTGTGTGTCATATTGGGCAATTCTTGATATGTAATTGGGACGGAAGATGATTCTCTGAAGAACAAGGTTGTATGGTTCTTTTTCTTGATGATCTTTATTGTAAAGAGTTATCCTCCGCGTTATATAACAAATCGTCGGCTTTCATGCCGAAATTCGATAATAAGATTGATTAGACTAACCACCGGTTCATGGCGGGGTTGAAGTGGGGGTGGGGTTCTTGGAAGGCGTCATTTGAAGTCCCTTGGTACTGAATAACAGAAAAGTCGGCCTTTGAGTTCAACGGCACAAAATAAATAGCTTAAGAAGTCTTGTCTAAATGGCATAAACTGGCATACTAATTTCGTCCCCAAGTAGTCCGAGTCCGTCCTTACTAAGCCGTGTCGTATGTATCGGCGGATGAAAAAACAGGTAAGATCGGCATGAATCCTATAGTTTAGAATATTGAGTATATTGACAGGGCTTCGGCCTGGATTTAAAGGACAAAGAAATAATAACCAAGGTAATATGTAAACAGCTCCAACACACCACAGCCCGTAATATCCTATAACAAAAGCATTTACATGAGCAATCGCCAAGCACCAAGCAACAGTGCCGCGAAACCTGTGCACACACCCATCAACCATTGCAGCGACTGAAATTTGACCTGCTCCAGTTTCTCTCGCAGTGCTGCAACCTCCTGCTCTATCTTTGCCTCTGTCTCCTTGATCTTGAGCTCCTGTCCTACAGCTTCCTCTCGGATACGGCCCTTCTCCAGGCTAAGGTCGAGGCGAACGCTAGCCTGCGTACGGCTAATCTCGTCTCGAAGGCGGTTGCTCAGCTTGGCAATATCATTTGTCACTCGCTCGTGTGCGGTGCGTGTTGTGTTGGATTCTGTTGAATCGGCTGAGAGAATCTCCGAACGTAGCTTGGCAAAATCGACCTTTTGGGTGTATGTTGCTTTGGCGGCATCGTCGCGGAGAACCATTGTCCTTGTAAGATTTTGGATGCTTAACGGCAGGTTAGTGTTGTTGTTGATTGTAGACTTCGTGATTCCAATGCGTACCTCTCCTCAATAGCGTCATTCAGCACCTTCATCATAGCAGCCGATTGCTCCTCTGTAAACCCTTCACCCTGTAACCGCTTCACAAACTTGAGTGTATCAAAGTGGTGGTCCCTTTGCCTAAAGGTTGTTGCATGGAAAGCCCTTTTGGTAACAGGGCTAACGATTCGAGATTGTCGTTGATCGGTAGAAGGGATCGAGATCGAGGCGAACGGCCGGGCTGCTCGTGAGACTGAGAGCGGTGCCCAGCTAAGGCGTGGAAGAAGAAATCGAGGCAGCATCTCTGCTGCTGCAATGGAAGGGGCTGCCATAACTACTCGTTGGATGGCTGATATGTAACGGTCTGGTTATAGGTAGTTGTTGAGAAGGGCTGCGATGTCGGCTGGTGGGTAACAGAAAAGTTAGCCTCTAAGCTTTAGGTAATAAAAGTAAACGATCTAAGAAGTCTGATCTAGATAACATAAACTCACCTATTTATTTTGCCTCTTATGCTTCCGGCGGCCAATTTTTCTGATACTCTGAGGGGAGGGGGAGGATGGAGTTGAAGAATCTAACTACCAGCTTGTGACGTTAAAGTTAATTGACAGGAGCGGGAAACATCGGGTTTGATTGGCCCCTGAAGCTAAAGTGCATGCAGCCAATAGGATGTCGCTGATGCTAAATCTGTAACCAATTAAGGGAAAGGGAATCTTACTTCGCAATGTAACCCTGAGATCTAATACTAGACATGTCTGGTAGATAGGTAGATCCTGGTCTTTTCCTCATGTAATTAATTTTAACCTATATATGTATTGTAGGCTAACCATAAATTTACTTCTAGTACTATTGAACCTGTCAAACGATTAATTGAAACTCCTAAATCTCTATCTGGTAAAACGAAATAGTATGACCAGTACCTATTCCAGGTAGAAAAGATAAAGACAACCTGCGAGCTGTAGAGCACAAAAACAAGTAACCCAAGAGCATTGTCTAAATAGGTAGTGTAAGTCAACTAACTGATTTCGTGTCTTATGCTTCGAGCGGCCAACTTTTCGAATATCCTAAGGTGGGCTTCTATTATTTGCCTAGAAAACATAGTAAGTTCTTGTTCAAACAATGGATCGCGAGTAAACTGCAGAGTGGCCAACACATGAATAGTTATGCTAAATCTTAGCTTAAGCTTGTTTGTTTACAAAATTATCAAGCTTGGCTCCGGATGATGCTCATAACAAACACAAAACATCAGATCTACGGAGTTCAGATAAGCAAACTCCGCAAGTATTTAAGGGGTGATTGATTACCTGTACTACTACATCTCGGCCAATTACTACCAAACGCCATAAGTCTCCGAACCATTGTAGAACAATCAAGGGATGTTTTTAATTAATGAAGCCCTTCAACACTCTCATAATTCGATCTGGAGCTCGGGTCAATTACAGCTTTGAATGTTCTGAGACAGTAAGCCGGATTTAGTCGAATCCCGAATCCCGCTAATTATATCCCCTAACTCCGGGCTTTTCGCAATTCTCTACCCCCTTCAAGTACAGCATCCGGAATTCCTGTTATACGACCGGAATTTATTCAACTTTTTGTTTACTCACGTACATGGTCTTAATTGGCGAAAATTACACAGGCAAACAATGGCACCACCCGATCTGGCAGCCTCTGCAACATCCAGTACAACAGGGACACCCGCCGGCTATGGTAGGGCGTGTACTGCATGCCAGAGAGCAAAATGCAAGTGTATCTTGAGAGCTTCTGGCCAAGACTGCGAAAGATGTCATCGCCTTGGAAAGCCATGCCAAACCATGGCGACGTCGCGAAAGCGAGTTCCTAAGAAATCCACCTCTTCCAGAACCGCTCAATTAGAAGAGAAGCTTGAAGATCTTGTCACTATCCTACGCGCAGCTCAACCGTCAAATGGACACCTGCAGCCGTCGAATTCGGGCGAATCTAGCCCCTTGATGAACCCGTCCAACATGTATCACCTCACGAGCCGCTTAGAATCTCTAGCAACTGCTGCAGCATCGTCTTCATCTGAACCCCAGCCTCGCTCATATCCTGCACCTCATAGTTATGGTTCCAAAAGCACAGGGGACAGTCACATGTATACATCGCCCTCCAGCATTGGAGAAGATACATCATCGCTGCCTGAACCTACACCAGAAGAGGCCGAAGCATATCTGGCGAAGTTCAAGGCGTGGCTGGAAAAGTTCCCGTGCATAGTTTTACCACACGATGTGACAGCTGCGGCTTTGCGACAAGAGAGGCCGTTTATGTGGCTATGTATTATGAACATCACGTCAATGTCCGTTGAACAGCAGATGAAAATGAAAGATCGAGTTCGACAAGAATTAGCTACAAGAGTCATCATCAACCATGAGAGATCCATGGACTGCCTTCAAGGAATTATTTGCTATGTTACCTGGTTAGTTTATCGCCGCCGCTTCCTACTGTAGCTGCTCTGACGTCTTATAAAGGGCCTCCACTACTTCCAGCCCAGGTAAACCTTTTATCGTTACGTTTTGCCAAATGGCCGTCTTGATTGCCTATGAGCTTGGTCTTACAAAAGCCCCTGTTGAGGAACAATACTTTACAGTATGTTTCAAACTTTGGGGAGGACGACCTGCTCCGCCGCGGTTACGCACGTTGGAGGAACGGCGAACCGTTGTGTCACTTTGGTTTCTGACTTCCGTGTAAGTTTCATCCTTTCGCTTTCTGGCCACTTCTGATTTGGGTAGCATGTCATCTTTCATTGGCAAGATGGAAACTCTCCACTGGACTCCGCATATGAGCGATTGTCTTGACGTCCTGGAGAGAGAGAAGCGGTATCCCTCTGATGAGCTGCTGGCTGCATTCGTTAGATACCAGCTTGTGGCAGATGAAGCACAGAAATTATTAGTTCGCGATGTCATGGGCGATCCGTCCCCACCACCTACGTACATTTTTAGAAAGAGCTTGCTTGCCAAACTGCAGGCGGTTCGGGACGGGTTACCCTTGAACATGCCTGTGACCCGTAAGTACAAGATGAGTAACTATTACTAGGCCACGCTAACAGATGCAGAGGTATTACAGGCACATGCGCTTGTAACAGAGGTTCAAGTTAATTCAGTCGGTCTCTTCATGCAAAACATTCCAGTCAATCAACGAATTGAGAGCATGTATGCCTGTCTTAAAGCAATCAGGGCATGGTACGATGTGTTCTTCGGTATTCCTGTTGAAGAGGTTGCAGGAGTTCCCTTTGCAGTCTATATTCAATTATCACAAATTCAGATAGCTTTGTACCGGCTCACTACGTCTGAGGACCCTGCTTGGGACAAGGAGGTGGTGCGGAACACGGCTGACTTAGTGGTACTTTTGGATCAAGTTATTGACTTCTTTACCCGTATAGACTCGGTTTACAAAATGAAGGTCAGTGCAGGCGAGGAGACAGTGTTCCTGATGGGGGCCAAAATCATGCGAAATATCCGGAACTCTTGGGAACCTGTATTATCGAGACACCTCAGCAGTGTTCCTTTATCTGCTGCGAACCAAGAGGCGGTTCAATCGATGCCAGCACCAAATCCACCAGACCAGCAAAGCCTAGACATGGCAGCTGTCAATATGATGGATTTTGGGGATATTACATGGATGTCTGACGTTTTTGGGCCTTGGGAGTTCTAGTACCTCAAGATGTTTGCGATCGCAATTATTGAGATCCGATTAGGCAATGCCGAGTGAAGGATTCGTTTTGTGGTAAGCAAATGTTGGCTCGAGTGGTTTTGTTTGGTTGAACGGAATTCAGTTCAAAAACGATACCCAACTCCGTCTACACCACCCCAGCTTTAACACCATAACAATTATTAAGTGTTCGGGATCGGGAATACGTTGCAGAATATTCCGGTAGCTCCCATGCTTATGTCCAGTGTGTTTGTTTCATGAAACATATAAGAGAACATAATGCTCGACATGCCAAGCAACCTCAAAGTCGTTACAGCCCTTTCGAACCTGCGTCTCGGCACAAAGATTATATAACCAACATTGCCAATATGGCTACGGAAACTCCCAAAGAAGAGCGAATCGACCTCCAAGCTCCCCTTAGCGGAAATGAAAAGACAACGTCTTCCTCGAATACTCCCACATTACACGAGCCAGCCCAGGAAGAAATTCAAGCGAAACCAGAAGTCGAACTCTCACCAGAGCAAGAGGAAGGGGAACCCCAGTGGTTGAAAGGATGGGAACTCGCAAGCATGATGACCTCTCTTACACTTGCTGCCTTCTTGATGCTGCTTGACATGTCAATCATCAGCACGGTACGGCCTCATGTCCACCAATTCACCCGACTGGTACTGATGAATATTTAGGCTATTCCTCGCATCACATCGGACTTTCACTCTTTACATGACATAGGATGGTATGCTAGCGCATACAATCTTGCGAGGTAAGCTGAGCACTAGATGGTGTTATCTTGTATTTGCTGATCATGAGGTCCAATCAACAGTGCTGCCCTCCAACCACTTACAGGCAAATTATACATGTACTTTAACACTCGGGTAAGTTGTTCCATGTTAATGAGTACCTATAGTTCAAGTCTCACAAATGATAGTGGATCTTCTTGAGCCTGTTCTTTGTCTTTGAGCTCGGCAATTTGATTTGCGGTGTTGCCCAATCGTCCACTATGCTCATTATTGGTCGCGCGATCTCGGGCATTGGCTCATCTGGCATTCAGAATGGCGCGCTCACGATCATCGCATCGGCAGTGCCTATACATAAGCGCCCATCTCTAGTAGGAATTCTTATGGGGTTTGCCCAGTTGGGAATTGTTAGCGGTCCCTTGGTAGGAGGCGCTTTCACCCAATATACTACTTGGCGATGGTGTAAGTCAACGGCTCTACGCCACAACTGGCCTCGACTTATCGCTAACTATTGCACAGGCTTCTATATCAACCTCCCAATTGGCGCCATCTGTACGGTTTTGATCCTTATCGTTCATATTCCCAACCACCGTGCTCCCACAGATGAAACTGTCATGCATCTTCTGAAAACAAAGTTCGATTTCACAGGCCTAGTCATGTTCAGCCCAAGTGTAGTCATGCTACTGCTGGCACTCCAGTGGGGCGGTGTCGATTATGCTTGGGACTCTGCGACAATTATCGGCCTCTTTTGCGGTGGTGGTGTTCTATTCGCGATATTCATAGTCTGGGAGCATCGTGTTGGTACGGATGCAATGATCCCAATGCCCATCGTGCGCACAAGACAAGTCTGGGCTTCGTGCTTAACCCAGCTATTCTTGTTTGCGACAGTTATGGTGGCGTCTTTCTACCTGCCTGTCTATTTCCAGTCGGCTAAAGATGCGTCACCATTTAAAAGTGGTGTCAACTTGCTCCCTAGCATTCTCATGTTGATTGTGGCGGCTGTTTTAAGTGGTATTCTAGGTAAGCTTCCTCTTCCATAAAAATTAGGGGATCTTTACTTACAATGGATGTAACAGTTCAGAGAATCGGTTATTACATACCTTTCGCGGCTTCCAGTGCGATAATCTCAGCTATAGGATTCGGTCTCGCATCAACCATGGGTCCTTATACTTCAACCGCCAAATGGGCAGGCTACCAGATCTTGATAGGTTTTGGACGTGGACTCGGCATTCAGATGCCCATTATCGCTGTCCAGGCCAACACAAAGCCTGAAGTGACACCCATTGCCATGTCAATTTTGACGTTTTCCCAAACCTTTGGGGGCGCCATTTTCGTAACTGCCGGCAATGTTATCTTCACCCATGAGCTCCGCGAAGAACTTATCAAAAGACTTCCCAGCCTTGATCCTGATATGATCATCGACGCTGGTGCTGGTGCTGTAAGCGAGGTTGTTTCTAAGGAAAATCTACCCGGTGTTTTATGGTCATACTCCAAAGGCACACGCGCAACATTCTTACTTTGTGTAGCTTCAGCATGTGTTATGCTTGTTACATCTTTTGGTATGGGTTGGAAAGACATCAGAAAGAAGCCTGCAGTCAATGCTGGTGAGGCTTGAAGTTTGATGAGCGGGAAATTAGTTTGGGGTGACGCTTGATTGGGGGTTCAAATTGTACATATGTGTATCGCCATGGTGGTGTTTGGCGTTGACGTGTGGGTAGCATTGGTTTCTCCTTGGGCGAGGATTTGTCACTAATCTCCACTGAAAATAATTCTCATACCTAGCAAAGAATATGATTTTAAGAGTTTGTTACATAGGAGTGGATTTAACTATAAATCTTATGTGATGTTGGTGGATTCTTAATATTTCTAACATCTGTAGGGTAAACTTTTCTGTACTCAACACCCAAGTTTGCTCCTCATGCATCATCAAAACATTTCCTTCATCAAGATTATATCTTCCAAGCATTTTGCATCAAAAACTTCCCATCTGTGGTTAAGAAAAGAAATAAATCTTGGATATTTTTATACTCAAAAGAAAGATTTTGCTACGATGAATCGACCTAATCGGCCTCGCAATCGCCAACCTCGCCCTCCACGCCAGGAGCAGAATAATCAACGGGGTGGCTCATCACGACCATCTCGGGCACCGGGAACACCACAACAAGCAGCAGGCACAGTCCCAAAAGTGCACCAGGTCATACCCGGAGCCTCTGTATTTATCATTCTGAAAGAAGATCAGCCGACAGGAGAGGAGACAAAGGGAATAGTACAAGATGTACTCACACGAGGCAATCATCCACGAGGAATCAAAGTGCGACTACGAGACGGCCAGGTGGGTAGGGTACAAAGAATGGGCAACACCTCTGAAGCTACACCTGCGCCCTCAGATGAGCCGAGAGCGCAAGCAGCATCTTCAAGTTCAAGATTTACTATGCGATATACGGATGTGAGACAGGACGATGAGTTTGCTACGGGCCCGCCGCCTAGGAGCTTGGCAGATTTCATACCAGATTTTGAAGAGAGTTCGACAAATGCACCGAATGCTGGAGTTGAGACGGTCAAATGCCCTTTTTGCGACAAGTTTGAAGGTGATGAGGTTGCTGTTACACATCATATTGATCAGGAGCATTTGTCCTAGTGTTGGATATAATGTTTGGAGCCAAGTGATGAAGTGCGATGGGGACATCACATGGTATCTACTTTATAAATAACTGTTTGCCTTGCATCCAAACCAAATCTTTTTCTATAGATTTTGACTGGAACAAAATATAGAATTCTTGGTGTCATGCATCGACCAATTTCCTGAAAACTCCCGTGTCTTGCAGACAAGTTTGTGCAGCCACAATATGCATTAGCCTGCTTGAACCTGTCTTAGGTACCTGGTTGTGCAGCATCCAGGTTGCTCACTAACATGCATGTAACAAACTTCAGAGAAAGCTCAATATCGTCAATCAGTAACAATGTCATTGTTGTAATAGGGTACTAATGATTTTTATAAAACATCCAACAACCTCTTGGGAATTATGATTGACTATCCTATTCTTGTATTGACGATAGTACGCCGCCAAATTTAGCTCACTGGGCACTTTCAACCTTTTCCTTTTCGCATTTGGTGGCTCTACACACTTCTTAAGTCTAATACTGACTTTTCCCTTGCTCTGAAGCTTCAAGTTACAAAAGTAGAGATCGAGAAGTAACCTTATTCTTGCACAATACAAAAGCACTGCTCAACAGCCTACTTCTTCGTCCTTCAGCACCCAAAGAAAACACCACTCTAAAATCGACCTCTCCTTTTCGCATAAATTGGCGCCTATTCTTGATGACGAAAGCTTGCTTGCTTCTTCATCTCGGTCGGGTCGGAATATCGTAGTGCCCCCCACAAACTTGATTTTCATTGGTTGTTGGATGACCTGTCAGCATTGCGAGGCCAGTGGATTCCAGAGTTCCAGGCACGCCTGCCCCAATTAGATTTAACCTTAAGGGTACGTACCTCCCCCTGGAGGTGGTGCTGCACCTCCTGCCCTGAGCGGTCCATCATAGCTGCCCTGTGGCTCCTTCCAAGCCTATCCAAACAGAACAGGTAACGTAACCCAGAAAGTGACCTGGGCCTGAACCTCTCTCCTTTACCTCACCAAAACATCCCCAACCTCATCTCCATCTCTCCCATTCACGACGACGATTCCGTCTGCATTATCAGCAGAATACGAATAATAGCGAATTACACGCCGTCGCTTTCCTTTCTTTCCCTTCGATTTCTGGCGCGTACCCTGTGTTTACTCCGAACCTTGTGCTTTCCGTCAAGTCACTGCCACGCAGCGCATGGAAGCTTCTACATCGCCCTTTGAAGGCAACACCGAAATAATTTCTGGTGATCGATCCGAGACCGACACCAATTCATCAAAAACTTCCTTTTGTCAAATTCGAGGCTAGGAGCATCGATTCGAAGAAGGTCCATTTTATCTCATCTTTGGCTACACTGGCGTCATGGCGCCTCTGCCCATCAAGTTTCAGGAGCTCATCCAGCTCGCCAATGTTGGCGTGGACACCCAGAGCATCGGCTTCAACTCTTGCGTGCGTTCATTTACCTACAGCCAGCTTTATTGTTGGTTATCCGTCAATATGAGACTAACCCTAGCTAGACACTCGAGTCTGATTCATACGTGTGTGTTCGAGAGAAGAAGAGCGAAGCCGCCCAACCCGAGGTTGTCATTATCGAGCTCAAGAATGGTAACAATGTTACCCGGCGGCCGATCAAGGCCGACAGTGCCGTCATGCACTGGAACCGACAAGTAATTGCTCTGAAGGCGCAGTCTAGAACCCTGCAGATCTTCGACCTCGAGCAGAAGAAGAAGCTCAAGTCATGCACCATGAACGAGGACGTGCAGTTCTGGAAGTGGATTAGCGAGAACGAGCTTGGCCTTGTCACGACGTCCAGCGTCTATCACTGGAATGTCTACGATGCTGGCCAAGACGCCCCCGTCAAGGTGTTCGAGCGTAATGCTAACCTCAACGTGAGTTGCCTATGAGCCGTGGTTGATTGGACACCACGATATTAACCATTTTATTATAGGGTTGCCAAATCATCAACTACCGAGTTAACAGCGACGGAAAGTGGATGGTGGTGGTGGGCATCTCATCCCAGCAAGGCCGCGTGGTGGGTGCCATGCAACTCTATTCTAAGGACCGTGGAATTAGCCAGGCCATAGAAGGTCACGCAGCCGCCTTTGGCACTCTTCGATTGGAAGGTGCTCCCCAAGACACGAAGCTGTTCAGTTTCGCTGTACGAACCGCAACCGGCGCCAAGCTGCACATCGTAGAGGTCGACCACCCCGAGTCGAATCCTGTCTTCCAGAAGAAGGCTGTTGATATGTTCTTCCCTCCTGAAGCCACGAACGATTTCCCCGTCGCCCTTCAAGTTTCGCAAAAGTACGGCGTCGTTTACATGGTAACCAAATATGGCTTCATCCACCTCTACGATCTCGAAACCGCCTCATGCATCTTCATGAACCGAATTTCGAGCGAGACAATATTCACGACCTGCACAGACGATGGCTCTTCTGGTATTGTTGGCATCAACCGAAAAGGTCAAGTGCTCTTCGTGACCATTGACGATACCAACGTCATCCAATACCTTCTTCAAAACCCGGCCAACACCGATATGGCTATCAAGATGGCCTCCCGAGCCGGACTTCCTGGCGCCGATAACCTCTATGCACGACAGTTCGAGCAGCTCTTTAACACGGGCGACTACTTGGCTGCTGCTAAGGTCGCCGCCAACTCTCCTCGAGGTTTCCTCCGAAGCGCTGAGACTATAGAGAAGTTCAAGCGCCTGCCTGCTCAGCCTGGTCAAATGGCTTTCACGCTTCAATACTTCGGAATGCTTCTGGACAAGGGCGCCCTAAACAAACACGAGACCCTCGAGCTTGCACAGCCCGTTCTCCAACAGAACCGTAAGCATCTTCTTGAGAAATGGCTGAAGGAGGGCAAGCTGGACTGCTCTGAGCAGCTCGGTGACATGGTTAGACCTTACGATGTCAACATGGCCCTGACTATCTACCTTAAGGCGGAGATTCCCCAGAAGGTCGTTGCTGCCTTTGCCGAGACTGGCCAATTCGACAAGATCCTTCCTTACTCTGCCCAGACTGGCTTCCAGCCTGATTATATTCAACTGCTCCAGCACATCACCCGCGTCAACCCTGAGAAGGGTGCCGAGTTTGCTAGTGCCCTTGCCAACAGCGAGCAAGGGCCATTGGTCGACTTCGAGCGTGTGTGCGATATCTTCCAAGGACAGGGTATGATTCAACAAGCCACCGCCTTCTTGTTGGATGCATTGAAGGAGAACAAGCCCGAGCACGCTCGTCTCCAGACCCGGCTTCTCGAGATGAACTTGATGCATGCTCCCCAGGTTGCTGAAGCTATTCTCGGTAACGAGATGTTCACTCACTTCGACAAGACTCGCATCGCTCAGCTTTGTGAGCAGGCTAACCTTCCCCAGAAGGCACTGGAGCTCTATGAGGACCCAGAGGCCATCAAGCGGGTTGTTGTTAACATCCCTGGTCAACCAAACTTCAACCCAGAGTGGCTCACCACATTCTTTGGCAAGCTTTCTGTTGAGCAGTCCCTTGATTGTCTTGATGCCATGATGAAGGCAAACATTCGCCAAAACCTGCAGTCGGTGGTCACTATTGCTACCAAGTACTCTGAGCTGCTGGGACCTGTTCGCCTGATTGATCTCTTCGAGAAGTACAAGACTGCCGAGGGTCTCTTCTATTATCTCGGCAGTGTTGTGAACCTGTCTGAAGACCCTGATGTCCACTTCAAGTACATTGAAGCAGCAACCAAGATGGGACAGTTTAACGAGGTTGAGCGATTGTGTCGTGACAGCTCCGTCTACAACCCTGAGAAGGTCAAGAATTTCCTTAAGGAAGCCAAGCTGCCTGAGCAGCTTCCTCTTATCATTGTCTGTGACCGCTTCAACTTTGTCCATGACTTAATTCTGTACCTGTACCAAAACCAGCAGTTTGCAGCCATCGAGACCTATGTTCAGCAGGTCAACCCCGGCCGAGCTCCCGAGGTTGTTGGCGGTCTTTTGGATGTTGACTGCGACGAGAACGTCATCAAGCAGCTTCTGAGCTCGGTCAACCCCCAGAGTATCAACATTGACTCACTAGTATCGGAAGTCGAGTCTCGCAACCGCCTCAAGCTTCTTTTGCCTTTCCTTGAGGCCACTCTCCAGGCTGGCAACCAGCAGCAAGCTGTTTACAACGCTCTTGCCAAGATTTACATTGACTCCAACAACAACCCTGAGAAGTTCCTTAAGGAGAACGACCAGTACGACACCCTTACTGTTGGAAAGTACTGTGAAAAGCGTGACCCCAACTTGGCTTATATCGCCTACTCTAAGGGTCAGAATGATCTGGAGCTTGTCAACATCACCAATGAGAACTCCATGTACAGGGCTCAGGCTCGATACCTCTTGGAGCGATCCGATGCCGAGCTTTGGGGTTTCGTTCTGAGCGAGAACAACATTCATCGTCGTTCTGTTGTCGACCAGGTCACCGCTACAGCTGTCCCTGAGGCTAATGACCCATCCAAGGTCTCTGTCGCCGTGTCTGCTTTCCTCGAGAACGACCTCCCTCTCGAGCTTATTGAACTTCTCGAGAAGATCGTCCTTGAGCCTTCACCTTTCAGTGACAACCAGAACCTCCAGAACCTGCTCATGTTCACTGCTGCCAAGGCCGACAAGGGTCGAGTCATGGACTACATCCACAAGCTCGACAACTACGATGCCGATGAGATCGCTACTAGCTGTATCGAGGTTGGCTTGTTCGAAGAAGCCTTCGAGATTTACAAGAAGGCTGACAACAAGTCTGCCGCTGTCGATGTTCTGATTGAGAACGTTGTCAGCATCGATCGTGCTCAGGCATATGCCGAGGAGGTTGATCTCCCTGAGGTCTGGAGTAAGGTCGCCAAGGCTCAACTTGACGGCCTGCGCGTTTCTGATTCTATCGAGTCTTACATCAAGGCCGAGGATCCCAGAAACTACCTCGAGGTCATTGAGGTCGCCACACACGCTGGCAAGAACGAGGACCTCGTCAAGTACCTGCGCATGGCTCGCAAGACCCACCGTGAGGCTGC